AATCAAGTGTTTGTTATGAAGTGCACGCCGCCACGACGAATATTATTACCCCATCAATTAAAATCTCATAGAGCAAAGGGTAAGCACTTATTATTCTTATGGTTAGCTAACCATAAAAGTTACTATTAATTTAGATTAAATAATATTACTATCAAAGAGTAAACAATCATTTGCGATGATACAATTTATAATAATTGATCCTACAGTTGTCTACTTTAAAAATAATTAAGAAATGAATGTATGTAATTATAAATAAAAAACGAAGCAAGAGTTATCTATGGCCATTTAGTAACACATTTAATACTAACATTATACTTTTGTCATATTTATTTTTAAAAAAAATCCAATCATCTCCAGGACAATAAAAACATTGGAAACTTCTCATTCTAATACTTATGATGCTGATGTAGATTTGATGCTACTGATATAATGATTCTAATTAAGTCTATGAAAATATTCCTATTTCAGTTTGCAAAGTTTTGGATGAACATAATTATTGCCAATACCAAAATCAAGATCAAATTGATCCAACAGGAGGACCAATTACCATGACAGGTAGATTTTACTTACTCTCATTTTTTATAATGTATGAATTTAGAATTAGAAGCTTTAAGTATTTATTTGACAAAGCTGAATAAAAGATGCCATAGGTAAAATTATATTTATATAACACTTCTGAGTTGAAATTTGTAAAAAACCATAAATACACATTCATCTGTATGTTACCTTTTTTAATATAAACTGTGGCAATATTATTTGTTCAATACACTTTTTAATTATTATCCATAAATAGAACTGTATACTATAGGTACAAATTGTTATTTGGTATAATTTTCTATTTACAAACTTTGGTGCTATCAAGATATCAATTTATGTTGCACTAATGTAAAAATTTAAATGCAGGTAATGTTTTCCAAGAACATCAGTACTCACTTCCTTCGACTAGCAGTACAACTTCAAGAGTCCCTCATCAATTGCAAGGTAAGGGTCAGTGAGAATTCATCATACAATATTTGTCTCTTATATAATTTTTGTTTAGACCTGTACTAAATAATTATGACTATTTAAAAAAAAATATAAGTGATATGAACAGCTTTTATTTCTTTATAATTAAAATATGAAAATTACCTTAATGAAATGTGATGATTATGTTTTATAGTTAAATGTTATAGTGCTGAAAAGAAAAATGCATTGAATTTTCTTTGTTTTAGGAGATGTATCTATTGACTCTATTCCTCAAAGTACTGCATTTGAACAAGGAGAATCCAAGAACACCACTCAAATGACTGCAGGTAAATACTTGAACTAATATCTCAATTTTAAGTGTAATAATACCATACTAATTAGGTGTATTTTAAATTTCTACAGATTGCCAACTAGTACCTGTTCAAAAAACAGCCAAGATTAGAACGTTCAGGCAACTTTCTAAATCAAGTAAGATATACTGTTAGACTTATGTAACTGTATTAAAAGATTTAAGTACCTAGTAGAAGTTTCAGTATTCAGTAATTGTTTTTTATATGATATAAAAAAAATATATTGTCAATTTCAGAAAAGAACACAACACGGCAATGTATAAAAAAATGTATTAAAATTGCTATTGATAGTTTGAATCAAACAAATACAGAATGTTTGCAAAATGCACATAAAGAAGCTGAAAATCATGTGCTCTTAAAAAATTTTGAATATCTTGATAAGAAATCCAAAGCATTCTTGTTGATGCAATTAAAACTTGTAAAAAAAAATAAAAAGGCACAAAGATTTTCTATAGAAGACAAATTGTTTGCCCTTACTTTGATGAAGCAAAGTCCAAAGGGTTATAAACTTTTGGAAAAATTGTTTATTTTACCTAGCAAGAGGACACTGTCTCGACTCTCAAATAGGATTGAGTTTGAATGTGGAGTTAATAAAAATATTTTTGAGCATATTAAAATTAATATAAAAGACTGGGACATAAAGAAAAGACTTTGCTCATTAATATTTGATGAAGTTGCACTAACACCACGTCTTGCTTATAATGAGAGTAAAGATAAGATATATGGAGTAGTTGAAATAGCAGGAGAAAGAAAGCTTAAATTAGCCGACCATGCTTTGGTGTTCATGGTAAGAGGTATATGTTCTTCATGGAGACAAAGCATTGCATATTATTTTTGTGATGGAACAGTTTCTTCACCAGAATTATTAAATATTTTAAAGGAAATTATTCCTTTATTGGTAGAAACTGGTCTAAAACCACTGGCACTTGTGAGTGATCAAGGATCTACATTCAGGACATGTTTCAAGAGTCTTAAAAATTCAACTGCTCAACTTCGGGAATTACAAGGAGTAAAACATGGTAAGTCTCTTAACCAAATTCTTTCAGAAAATTGCCATATCAGCTACAAATAAAATTATTTATATAATAATTTTTACAGCAGCTTGTGGAAAATTGAAGCCCAACTACTGTCTAACCGTCTAACCTAAACTAACCATCTATAACAGCTTGATGAATTTTGCAAAACAACTTAGATTATTATATTTGATCAATTTTTTAATTCATGATGCAAAATTGGACATAAATTAAAAAACGCTAAAGAAATTCACAAGCCCCATGTACTCTGGGAACTCGTGAACTTTTGTAATCCAGGTGACTGCTCTAACCTGATCTGATTTTTTATGAAGAAAATTCTTTAAAGTAGTTTTTATGAAACACTAATATGTTCAAACTTCTTTTAGATGATAGAATTCTTATAGCTGGACATGAACTTTATCTATTCCATGACCCGCCACATCTACTGAAGAGTATCCGTAACAATTTTATTACAAAAGATATCTTATATCAAGGAAAAGTAGCATCATGGAAAGATATTTTATATATTTATGACTTGGATAGTAAATCCGGTCATACCAGGGCAATACCAAAATTGACAGCACAACATGTGGATCCAAAACATATTAATAAAATGAAAGTCAAAGTGGCCACCCAAGTGCTAAGTGCCCGTACAGCTGCAATGCTTAACTATACTCATGCTCTCCGTAAGTATTTGTATGTAATATATTGTTAATTACTGAATTCAAATTCAAAAACTAACAATAATAATATTCATAACAAAACATTTCAGATGAACAGCTCAACATGCCCAAGGAGACAATGAAAGCGACAGCTCTGGTGGTGGAATTTTTCGACGACCTATTTGATAGTGTAAACGGATCCCCTGGTGTATCAAAGGGTAAATTAAGATGTGCGGTGAAGCCTAATTCACCTCACTTACAATTTTGGAGGCAATCATTAAAAACTTTAAAAAATATAAAGTATATTGATAACAGCAGCAAGTTTGCTAAAAATGCTTTAAAATCAAGACATGTGCGCGTTCCCTGCCTAGATGGATGGAATACTACTTTACAGGGTTTCCTGGGATTAGCCAAATTATTATTTTCACAATTCGGGGTAGAATATTTTTACCCTAGGTTTATAAATCAAGATCCCCTTGAAAATTTTTTTGGACGTATCAGAGCAGTTAATTATAGAAACGTAAATCCCGACGTTACAACGTTTATATACGCTTATAAGTCGTTAGTTTTGTCCAATATATTGAGCCCACATTCAAAATATTCCAATTGTGAAGAAGATAACGGTGATACGTTGATTGATTCAAATTATTTATTTATATCAAATGAAAGTGATAGGGAAAATTTTCCTATAAATACATATTCTCATGTAATGCCGTCAACTTCGCAGATTCCGCAAGGCGTAGAAAGTGATCTAAAACAACATGTAATAGCTGAAAAAGTCAGGGTTCAGACGTCGGCATACACAGCAGGATATATTTGCAGGAAAATATCCAAAAAAATTGATTGTTTCAGATGTCTAAACACCTATACCACAAAAGATATTCAAGGAATCCATATTTATATTAAATATAGAGAATACAAAAGACTAAAAAATAGTAATTTGGCCTACCCCAATGAGAAAATGCTTAGGCTTTATCGAGATAATTCTCAAATAATCCACGATTATTTAAATATAAATTGCATGAAAACTGATATAAAGAAAAATATTAAAAATATTATAATTGGAAAGTGCGACATGTCTTGGTTGGGATGTAAAAAGCACCATAAAATTGTAATTAATTATTATTTAACTTTGGTAATTCGCCTTCAATGCCATAATTGGTGCAATATTATTAATAAAATTTTGAGTGGCAAAATAGAAGAAAAATATGTATCAAAAATGCAAAATGTCCAACAACTAGCACTGAAAAAATGTAAAACTCATAGGTTAAGGAAAACAACTCAATAAATGATGTTCATTATGATTTGTTCTTTTTTAATTTGTTAAATTTAATAAAATAAAAAATATTTACAAAGATCCTATATTGATATTTTTGTAATTTTATCGATCTCAACATCACTAGCATTATCGATAATTTATGCATTTCATTTCAAACACTATTCATAATGACAGTTGTCATTCTTCGTAATGACAAGAAGAAGAAACAGCGATAGTAGCGCCAAAACTATTATTGTAGGAACTACGCAATTTAGACTGTCCTACAGTAGTTTTTCTGTTCTAAAAGAATCTCAGGCATATATTTTCTAAAATTGTTATTGTATGAAAGTCTCGCTGATTTTCCGCGACTTTGATCGCGTAAATTATAGCCTATGATGTAGCGTAGGCGAAAGAATGTTTAAAATCGGTCCAATAGTACCGGAGCCTATTCCATGCAAAGAAACACACAAACAATAAAATCTTTCCTCTTTATAATATAACGTATAGAAGTACAGATTAGTATAGAATTTTGTTTCTATTTTTATCATTCCATAGAAAAACCAGTAAACAGAAAACTTATTGTTAAAAATAAAATTTATTGCTTCGATAATGAATATCAATAACAAATCAAATATTCTTTATCCTCATTTGTTTACAAAAATATTTTATCCAGTGACAGTTTCTTTCAATTCATATCATTCAAAAGTTTTCAATTTAGTACTCAATTCTATTAAAAATTAGATCTACTTACACGTAGCTAAAGGCTGTCTATCAGTACGGCATAGATCGGCGAGCGCTTTGACGGCCGGTATACCTGGCTCCAACAACAGCTGTCGCAACGGATTGTACTCTTCACGGGGCATCACCAGTTCTTGCATATATCTGAAATTCGGTTACATAAAATTCTCTTCACAACACTGACATATCGCATGGAATTAAAATAAAATTATACACTAACATAGGCTTGCGAAGACCAGACTAAATAAATTGCATTAACGAAACAAACAATGATTAATAATTGCATTCCCACTATAAGTATTATACATTATTTTTAACTCTATAAATGCTAACAAGTTAAAATAACTACGGTACAGCATTGTGAAGGTAAAATCATCTATTAATTAGTAGATTCCAGTTATACACACCTGATACGTAGCCTCAAAGAACCCCATTCACCGATTGGTGTCATACCGGCTAACGGATACCACTCTTCTATTTCTTCACCATTGGCTAAATTAGCCAATTCTATTGTCAGCTCTGCTACCTTTAAATATTAAATGATTATTAATAGATGAAGTAACATAGTTACTTATACAAAAACATATACATTACGATCTTGATAACATATAATTGCCTACTTACTCCTGCTTTTATAATAATTGTGAATAACTTTTAAATGATTTTTGTTTCACAAACGTACATTATTGTAGGTACTACAATATATTTACCTCTGATTCTTTTCCCCTTTTGCCAGTATTATGAACTGTGATAGTGAACGAAGTGACATCTGGTGGGACATCGCTGCAAAACAATAATATTAAAATGATAATAATATCATTTATAATAAAAAAACTTTAAAGTCGAAATTTTAGTAGCCTAAAAGTTATAAACGAAACATGTAGCAAAGAGAAATTTAATTATGTTCTGAATTGAATTTCGATGTATATTAACAGTTTAAAAAGGATTATTAGGCGTTATATGTTGTTTACTGTATAGGTATACAACATTTTCGATGCATCGATCATTCGAGCCAAGCATTTTCTGCATGAAGCATAACAAAATTGGCTAGATGCATCAGTGCGAACGCAACGGCAATATGTTTGCGCATGAGTGAAAGAGATATGTGATGGAGGGTCACTGTACGAAATTGTTTCTGTTCGGCAACGTGATATATCAATGTATTGTCTTGTACTGTTGACACAACATGTTTACTAAAGGACAATAATATCACAAACAGAACTGCAATGCCATAGATTTCAATATAATCGTGCTATATCATACAAAGTTTTTTGTCATGCCCTGAGTATACTGATGGATGTATTAAAGTCTATCCTTGTTAAAAAGAATAATTGTGGATTTTTCCCTCTTTAAAGTCTCTGCAATGGTGTCGTATGGGTTGGGTCGTTACGTTCCTTAAAATATGGGCTGTGGTACTGCTAGCAGAGATGATTTAGCTCTAGACTACTTATTCTTGAAATTTTATTTTATTATGCTTATTTATATTAAATTAATTATTTATCGTTGATCTTGTTTGACTCTGCATGTGAATCGATTGATCAGTGAATGATATATATACTTTTAATAATATATTTTAATATTGTGATGGAAAGTGATATTTCAATGAAGTCATTCATCAATCCTGACATGTCTGTAACAAATAATACAGAGAGAAAAAAGCAGCCCTCGCCAAGTTTCTTGCCGGTTCTTCTCGGTACATGGTCTAGCGCCGTAGATTAACGAACCGATGGCAAAGTTTCGACTATCACAAGTGCTTGTACCAGCCTAGACGTAATAAATGATTTAAATTCGATTAGTGTTCAGTACTGACTCGAAGACGAACTCGTCGTCCCAGTGCGGGTCGGGCGAGGGCCGCGGCCTCGTGCGCGCCACGGGCGCGGCGCCGAGCGCCAGCCGCAGGTAGGGGCGCGGCGCGAGGCGGCCCGGCAGCCGGTGCGCCGTCAGGCAGCGCACGCGCAACGCACGCAGCCACACCACGCGCGACACCTGACACCGCGCCACTCATTATGACTGGTTTACACGTGATTCTTAATCACGTACATGAGTAGTAGTTACCTAAATTTTTACTTATTTGTGTGTTTACACTTGAAATTATGGCATTAATAACAAATTTTAGCGTTGAATTTGTCAATTCTTTGCGTTGTTGATCGTCCACCTTGAACAAACTAATTAACTTACAACTTTACTATGTTTGGACACCTACTCTAATATAAGCCACTTAAAATTAAGTTAAAAATCTACTTTAATTATTAAGTATAATCACGTGTAAACCAGCCAGCCATTATGGCAATGTTTAATGTGTGCAGCGTATGAGACAGCGCTATAGAGAACAATAGCGGTGTCTCGCTCACTTACTAACACTTACTAAATCACTTGGTCCATGACATAATCACGCTTTGAAGTACTAAAAGCAACACTGACGGAAGATGCATAGTGTAATACTAGGTGGTGGATCTTCATAACTGACAAATATATGAAATGGCTTTTAACCTTGCACACTCGACTAAAAATCCGTAGCACCCTAACGTATACTTTGGTAAAACACTTGACGGATTTTCCGTAAGATTTAGATTGTGGTCTTTAAAAATTATATTGCCATTTTTGTAATCATATTATATAACATAGCGTACCTTAGATTGATGGCGGGCTTGTTGCGGCACGCACAGTGGCCTGAGAGCGTCGAGCCACGCGCGTTCTTCTGTAGCAGTGTTAGCTGCGAGAAACGTATGCGTGGACAGACACGGCAGTGCGCGCTCCACCAATTGGAAGCAAAACTCGCGGTCCCATAGAGATTCGTGCACCTGTTTACAGTTGAATAAATGCATATCTTCAAGGCGAGGTTGTATGAAATTACCACTTTTTTAAACCAATTGTTTTCTAGGGCTATGCTAATATTTGCCGAAATAAAAATCATTTTATGAAAATTAAACATATGATTGATTGCTTGCAAAAAACAAACATAAATTTTAATAATTGGTTAGATAGAAAAAAATATCACAATGGTGACCCTAAATAGGTTTTTTGGATCTATTTTTACAACTTAACTATATAATAGATATGTACATAAATAGTTTCATATACAATACATATATCCTTTTTTTACTGCATTTGTTTCTTCTGTGATTAAAATGTGTAAAATAAAGGAATCTCGTCCTTACTCTCGATGCGTATGCGAAAAAAGGTACAAGAGGGCCTTAATGGCTCATTAAAAGTAGTGGTTGATATCAGCAGAGCGTGCGACCGCTACAGGCTCATGTTAACTCTTGATAAACCAATGATCTACCAATAAGAATGAGTGTCAAAAATGACTCCATTTCATTCAGACGATGATTTATTACAAACAATATTTTACTAATAAAAATATAAAGCCAGAGAAAGTTAAGATACATACTATATGGTGAACTTGAATAAAATATTAATATGGCATACCTGATATAGATAAGCGCATGACAAATCAATCAATCCCTTGGGCTTCGTCCTCTTTGGTGAATCGTAAAAATATAAGTGCGTGTCTGTCCCTTCTTGTAGCAGCACAAAGTATAGTGCTTTCCACTTTTTAGCCACTTTGTCGGACTTCTTATTCAAGTACCCTTGATGTTTAATTCCTTTCATTTTTTTCAAGCCAATTTGATCACGACACTCGCGCAATGTCGCGTATATCTTTTCAGCCGCAGCTCCAGTTGCGTTCTGTTGCGGTTCTATTACATGACCTTCGGCTATGAGCTGAAAACAATAAATAATGATGAAGAAACTTTCAAAAATGTTTAAACAAATATTATATCACTTAATAGAACATCAATTTAAGAAGTATAGTAAGGAACAAATTATTCCCCTATCACACATCATCGATGATCCCTAAGCAGCATTGATTTAAGATTCAGGAAACGTTATTGAAAAATGGCGTTCATTTATACTTTTGATGACAGTTTAAAATTAAATCAAAATAAAATAAAAATACAAAACATAAGGGAAAATGTTTACCGGTTGACCCAAAGTATGCCCTTCAACAATCTGTTCCTTCCGATATCTATTAATGACAGCATCAAGACACTCGAACGTTCTACCACCCATGAGATACCTTACTCCTTTCTTTTCTATCCGGAACCTCTGTATCTGGTTATTGATGTGGAAGAATAAAGAATAGTCTCCAGGCGAGTTATCGGATGGTCGAACTAAAAAGCTGCCAGGGCCGGCTTTAACGAGCATATCAACAGCTTCACTCTTCGTACAGTTAGGGTGGAACCATGAGAAGACAGTATTCGGATCAATTGATGGATCGAGATCTTCAACAAGCTCTCTGAATATCATTCCTTGTTCTCCAGTTCTGTAATAATTAATGAATTAATACTATATGATACTCTGCACAGTAGACAGACATATAGGTATAAAGTCATAGTACATTATAGTTGTTAGAAAACACTGAATTTCCCCAATCAATTTTATAAATTAATTTATTGTTTACTAGCTGTTTTCCTGCTACTTCGCCCACGTTAATTATAGTCTGTCATCCGCTTACAATATAGCTTTCCGTAGGTGATAGAATTTTAATAAAAATCACATAGGATCAGATCAGTAATTCCAAAAATTAACCCCCACAAACAAACTTATTAGTGTAGATTGAAATATAAACATGAAGAAACGGATTTTTAATTTCATTTGTTGATTAAGTGATAAAATAATAAAGAGTTGATATAAAAATGACAAAGTAATGAATGTACATTATTTATATCATACATCTTTATGTACCATGTACCATCTATATGTGACATGCTCGGACTGCAATCAAATATACATAAATAATAAGTAGGGCATTACAACAACTAAATCTCATTAAATAAAGTTAAATCAAATCAAAATATTTATTACAATTATTATTATGCTTGTTTTATTATATGAAAACTGACCCTGTGTTCAATGAATATCCTTCCTTTATTAGCATCAGTAGTTTCATATCAGTGTTAATCTACATAGATACTTCATCAAGGTAAAGTATTTAATTATAAAAGGTTGTTCAAGTAGAGTAAAAATCCAACTTTTTTTGGATGCAAAATTTTATTTAAATCAAGTGTCAATTCAGTAGCAGGAGTGTAATATTTGTAGCAATTCTGTTATGCTGCACAAACTAAACAATTTAAACTATATTTTTAGTTAAATAGCAGAAGTAAATGGATATTATTATAAAACCTAATATATTGAGCAAGTGACTACAAATAACATGAAAGTAAATCCATATCAAAATTAGTTTTTTTTTTAGTTTAGAAACTGATAATACAGATGTAGCTTTATCAAATAAGTTTTCAAGAAATAACACTTAGATTATTTAGCTTTACAGCCATCAAATACTTAATGATCATTAAAAACAAATTTGATAGTTAAATTAAAATAACATTGTATTGCTCACTCACCTATGTGCAGTGACCCAAAGCCAACCATCACCCATGTCATTATGAACAAAAAATATATCTCCTTTTTGAAATGTAAGCTCATCTGTGTCGGGCATCTTGGTGTACGGAAGTATAGCAACTACTCTCTGTTAAAAGTGAAATATTTATTTAAATACTTAGTGAAACTTTTTTCAATGAATTTAGTATTATTTTACATACCTTTTTATCATTTACTGGTTCTGGTGGAGGTACAGGTTCAACCAGTCGCTCTCTTTTCAATAAGTCAGAACAATGACTGTAAAAGCCCACTAACTCAGTCAAAGAATCGAATTGCCGACCGCCAATATAGTAGTCGCCACACACTGCTGTAATCCTATTTGAAATATAAATAATATGAAACTACTAATAACAATATTAATAGTTCATAGCAATCACATGGTGATGGTGCTAATACATAAAGACAATCTGGTGTTAAGTAATATAAAATTTACCTAAAATGGTTTATTCCTGTTCGTCCCAAATAGCTCAGCACATATGATCCAGGCTTTCTATCACTTTCTCGAACTAAAATGATAGATAATAATAAAAATAAACTTATTAATGATGATTGCAGAACCATGCATTTATATGGTACCATACACATACCATACATCAAGTCCGTGGGTAATATTATGATTACATAGTAGTAATAAATTCTGTCCAAGCTAACAATGCATTTACTAACAGTAAAATGACTAAGCTAATAAATATAGATCCAGTTGCACAAACGTCCATCAAAATTGGCATTACTTTAAAGCAACATTACCAATACAAATTTGACATTCATTAGAGCTTAAAGGCGGATCTGATCTGAACTGATCGATAGAATGATAGATGTTAGAGCAACTTATTATAGCATAAAAGCTGATTGTAGATAAAGAGAGAAAAATAATAAAAACCTAATAGTAACTGTATAACAAAACTTAGATGAAAGATATATAATAATTTACTCATAACCTATTCATTAACTAAGTATCATTTCTAACGTCATTTTTTGAATTCCATTGAGGTCAATGTAGTAACTGAACTATTCTATATTGCCTAAGATCAGTGTTTTGATGCTTTTATTGTTCCAGATATCAATAATATTAAGACTTTTGCTAATTATCTTGTATGATCTTGTAGATGCAATATACCAATTTTTGATTAGAAAAAAAAAACAAATATATCAAGTTCACATAACATAAGGGAATTGAGGGTTTTACCTTTTTTAGTTACTAATAAAAATAATGAGAACAAGCTTTTTCTTCATTAATCAATTAAATTACTTTCATTAATCAATCATCAGTACTAAAATAATTTGCACAGACAATAAGCATTTTATAGAATACAAACAGAAAAAGGCAAATCTGCAGAGCAACTTGGTAAAAATCTGAACCTGAATTCAATCAGGTGTCCAAATTCACTTTGATAATGACATCCGCTTAACCTTTAATTAGTATTTACATTTCGTGGCATAAGTTTAGTGAGTTTCGTAATGACATAGGGATAGAATGTCAGAGACACATATGAATCAATCAAACTAGTTTTGCATTTTAATACAAAAAAATGGAATCGATAGAACTTCTACACTAAATGGTGTAACTTTGGTCACTTGAGTCAATGTGAATTCAGATTTTTACAGAATCACTCCGCAGCAGTCTAAAAATAAAAAAACAAAATTAGACAGTACACATTGAGTTAACATAGCATAACCAATTTCATCTTACCCAAATAACTACCAAGATTTGCTGCTTTCCACAATCTTTCTTCTGCAGTGTATCTGTCCAGGCGGCCATGATACCATTCAGTTTCTGGTGGAGCAAGCACTGCTTCACGTTCACCTGAACAATTTAAATAATTTATCTAAAGAACTTAATACTGGTCAGGTGTATTGCCTGAATATTGATAAATGTGCTCACTAGTAACAACAATATCAAGTCTTAAGTGAACATGAAACCTATAAAGAGTTCAATACATCATGAAAGCAAATATAAACACACTAAAACCTTTAAAATTATTTCAAATATGAATAGTGCACATGAATTTATAACAGATCAGTACCATGTACTTGAGAAATTTGTTAGTCCTGTTAGGTCTCGGGTAGTGCAATGTAAGATTATCTTGGGCACCTAAAACTGTTGAAGTTTTTAAGCATTTTTATTTGAGATAAATATTGAGAATGCTATCTTAGATATGCATGTAAAATTGAAAGCTGAATGTTAAATTGATCAAATATGATAAATTATCTCAATCTGAATTCTAGTTCAGTTTTTAGTCTTACTACAATAAGTTTTATTCTAAAAGTATACATATTGTTTAAGTATCAACCTACACAGTAAACATGAATATGAATAATAATCATGACCTAATCTTTGATAATACCCAAGATAAAACGGAACTAGAAAAAGCAAAACATCAATTGCCTCTTAAATTTAATACTTACCATTAGTGCTTGGGCCATTTGGTTCATAAATTTCTAAGTCAGCTGCAAGCTCCGCAATGTCGCCACCTCCATCTTCAGATTCCGTCGATGGTGAACCTAACTTATCCTTTACAGGGGGTCCGATAGGAGCCCCCATACCGCGAATCAAATCAGCCATTTTCTATCGAATTGCAGACTGAACGCTTCAATGCATAAACATTACAAACAAGTGAGTCATACTTTACGGAAACCACTTATTACAAGCAAGTACCTAATATAAAGAATATATTTTTAACTTCCAAATCGTTGAATTTATTAGTACATATTAGCACTCCGTCAGACCCGAGACCCTGTTTACAAAGAGAAACAAAAAAATAAATATAAAAAATCACTCGAAACACGGAGCCATTCGTAAAAACTACAAGTATTTTTTATATTTCACAAAAACATGTTCATATTGCTCTCATGACGACTATTTTTAAACATATAGTAGGTAGATTATTCAATTTTTCTACATCCCTCTTTTCCGATACGCCCCCAAATTTTTTTGTTGCAATATTCCTTATAATTAGGGATGTAACGATACGAGTAAAGTACTTACTCGATTTTTCTTTTTTATTCCAAGAATTTTTATTGGGGTATTTTATAACAGAGTAACGAGTTGTATCGTGATGTAGGTATATGTATTATTAATAATAAAGGTTTATTTTCAGAAACCATTACAATTTTTAACACACTGACCCCCACACTAGGCAGTGCCTGGCCTGTGGAGGAGATTACTACGATTTCAAATAAAAATATATTGAACAAACAGTTTTTCTGATATTTTATAGAATGCCGATTAGGGATATGAACATTTATGTCGTGTATGTGTGAATGCTATATAATGTGTGTTTGCGTGATAGTATTTGTGGTATAGTATTATATATATTATTATTGTATAGGTACTGGGTCGATTATTCATTGAGGAGAGTCACAACACTCGCGTGCTCGACTGTTTACTAGAGACGGACGTTTAAACGAAAAGCACTTAATTAAGAATGCTTTTCTAAATTAGTTTAAAAGCAGTTTTTCACTTAGAAGAAAAGTATACTAATGCTTATTATATTCGAAATCAAGTAAGATTCAATATTTTATGACCAATAAGATATCGGTAAAAGTGTCAATATCTATATGTTATCGTACATCCCTACAGTGTTGCCTGTGAGATAAGTTTTGATTGACTTTGACTAGATGTCATCTCGGCCAGTTTTTTTTTTATTCACTTGACATTGGCAGAATTGTGTGGAATGCGCAAATAAGTCATTAATAAAAGACTATGAGCATTTTTTTAAAGAAAATTGCAACGTATGTATCTATTTTTATTATTTTTTCATGTAGGATCGTATTTTTTTTATTACACTCATTTTACATCTGGTATTTAAGTTAATTATTTAGGAAAGTAAGGATTATATTAATACACATGCAAATATGTTTTACGATATTTGTGTATATGTATGAGGAAGTATTTAAAAAAAATAAAGAAACTACAAAAAAATATGTCACTAGATGGCAACACAAATTGTTGGATCTAAACGTCAATTCATGATGGTAAACAAAAGAGAATAGAATTGTTAGTGTTGTTATGGATCTGATAACTTGGATTAATATTGAGTTGAAATTTAATTAGTTCGAGTTACGCAAACGCAACTCGATTAATACAAAGTAATCTTTGAATAAATTTCTTTTTTATTTGTATAAAGAAAAATGGAAACTAACATAATGGAAGTGAGCACAGAGGTTTTTTTTTAAATTTATGCAAACCTAGTGAATTAATCCTGTAATATAATTAAAAGTGGCATTTAGCTATATATTATATAACATAAAAATATTACCGCCAAATAGTTTTTATAAATAAAATACTTATGCCATAGTAGGACTAGGAATTTTTCATTATAATATTTAACAAAATTTCTAAAAACAATAACAACTAGGTAAGTTAGTTTTATTGCTATTAGTTGTTTGTTGAACTTACAACAAAAAAACTACATCAAGTCTCAATAATATTTTTATATTATGTATGGTGAATGGATGAATAAGGTTTATTAATCAGCAACAAATGTCATAAAAACCATAATCCATTTATTATCTATATACTTACCCGATATGTATCAAATACCTAGATTCGTACGAATTAACATAACTTCTGGTTAAAATGACGTATGTGCTAAGTGAAACGTGCAAATAACTTGTGCTTTCGAAATGAAGACTTAAAAAACTTTGATCAGTTATAAAATCTTATATTCATAATTAAATTATCTTAATAAACATTCAGCAATCAACAAGAAACGTCTGTTCTAAACGAACAACAAGGTTTGTTTTAATTACAAAATCACAAAGACACGTACAGTTATTATACTATTGCTACTGATCTTGCATGTCGACGGCGGTCATCGCGCCATATGTTAAGTTAATTCGTACGGTGGGAATGTGCTTTTTGGTTCTTACAATAATATTGTTAATAATAGATTGACTTCCTACACAACCTACTCTAGTAATCAGATTAATTAAAATATATTATTTAGTAAGTACTTAGAGTAGTCATACTGTCTTAAAATCTCTGCTCTTCTCGGCGTTAGGTCATTACGTTCCCTCAAATATAGTATAGTTGAAATTAAAAAATCAGCACTTGCTGAGTTTCTTGCCGATTCTTGTCAGTACAAGATCTCCCGCCTAGTTTTGCGAACCATTGGCAAAGTTTTCGACTTTCACAAGTACTATGTAACAGCCTAGACTGAATTGATATTGATATTTATATTAATATCATTCGTTTTGTGGATGCATAATGACACATACAAATATAAGCTGAATTCTGCGCTCCGCTTTTTGTTCTTCATTCGAAACCTGAATTCGGATGAAAGTTACGAGCAATCAATAATTTGGCTCTTCACTAATGTTAACGTATAAATTAAACATCGTTCCTTTACACGTAACAGAATAAACAACTTAAACTTACGATTAAATTAATTTGAAAGTTAGATATTATAAGAAACACAAAAAAATGTTATGTTAATTAATTTTCGATAGTCAATTTACTTTTATTACGTCAAAAACAAAACTTGAATGTATATCATAAACAAAATCCAAACATCGCGAGTGACATCTAGTATGATTTCAAGAACTTTTCCAAAAAAAGAATATCATATCTTATTACCGTATAAATAAGGAACACTTTATTTGTTACCATAGACGTTAATAGGGATTATTTATCGAAAAAATAAAAGTTTTTCTGCCCTGAAGAACAATTTTGGTTTTGCGGGTTAGTACGTGTTTACTTTCCAGCGTCGATATGTAATATGTACGGCTTATCTTATGTCTGCTTCGTGATTTGATAGACGCGCTGATGTTGCATTGTTTTTTTTCACACAAGTATTTTATTTTTACGTTATACAACAAATAAAAAAAAGTAGGGTGACCAAGCAACGGTAATGAATGGACTATTATTAGATTTTGAATTGTAGCGGTAATATAGTTATTTATACGAAAAAATATTATTCTTATTAAGTATATAACCTGTTCTAATATATACATACAATGAGGAAGTATTAAAAACAAAACGAAAGCACTAAAAAGCACCTTTACTAGATGGCAACTCTAGCAAAAGTTGATTTTTGCTGGAAACGAATGGATCAAAGACAGTAATTCCCGTTTCTTTTAACTACCATATTAAATAACTGAAATATGAAAAGTTCGAAACTAAGATATCAATATAACTAGATTATGAGTTGTTAATTGAGTTTTGAAAACTAATTTACTTTTAAACTTGAAAGAAAACCGGAAAGATAGTCATGCAGAAACCAAGAACGTACGTAGAGACATCTAGTTTGATTTCGGGAACTATTGTATTTTAAATACTTTCTCATTGTAATGGTTAAAGTTCTGTGGTATAATTATTCCACTAAACTGTTTATATGATTTTAAGTTAATTGAAATAATTGTAGAAGTGTACAGGAATTTGGTCTTGATCTAAAGAATGACAAAGTTATATGAACTGAACTAAACTTCCTATATGATTCACTACTGTAGGTCACGCGATAAGCAAGAAATTTCGATTTTATATTTTTTAAATCACATAACGCTTACGTTAAAACAAGCTATTTCAACAAATTATTAGATTTGTTTCATGAAAAACAACCATTTTATGAAATGGCTGGCCGCACCATGAAGGGTCCTGGCTAGGACATACGGATGGTTCTCATAATATAGTTATTAAATAAAAAACTATGGATGCTATCGATATTTTTACAAACAATCGAAGTGTTTGTATCTTAGAATAATGTAAAAACGATGCAAAGAGTGAAGAATGTCAAACAAGTGTCATAACTATTAATCATTGAGGCGTATCGATGGTTAATACTACATTCCATCAATATTCAATATTTAATTAGATTTTATCAATATTTAATAGGGGTGACGACGAATTTTTGTTTGTTTGTCCGTCAGTTAGATTGTTGAAAAATATTAAAAAAGTATTTAAAAAATTACTAATTATTTTTATTTTTGGTAGGAATTTGAGCATCGCCACCAAGGTGACCTAGATGGTTAAATTTTTTCAAAATAAAAAATTACTTTAGTGTCTTGAAACAAAAGTCTTCGACTAGTGTGTGTTGTGTGTGAGTGATGACTTACGAAGGGCAAGCACACCCAGCGGGTATGGAGAATGCAATTATTAATATTTCTCGTGATCGTATAAGGAAAAAAGAAATCCGTAGAAGAAACAATTTTATTGACATTACTTAGCGGAATAGCCGTGAACAGAACGTATACCTAGATGAACCGATGGCCGTTGAGGCCGAAAGGTTCTGGAATCGCGAGCGTTGAAAGGTTGCGGGCAGCGTAGTATCGATCTTCGTGGTGTTTTATGGGGAGATCTGTGCTCAGCAGTGGGCTGTTGATAATGATGATGAAACACTAAATATAGTAAGTATTAGTACAATACTGTTTATGAAATATACCGTGAATGGCGGATCTTGTCTAAAAGTCGTGCCAGCTACAATCTTATAAAACTAGTTTTCTCATTGAACGTCGAATTCACAAGTTGTATTTTGCAATAACTTTATACCACCGCAAAACGATTTTGTATGCTTTTTGCTTTTTTTGATTTAAAAGATATGTCGGCAATAACATTAGAATTTAATATAGTACGGCTGGCAACCCAACCCATAGTAGAATTATTATGTTTAGGTTGTCAGCATTGGATCAAAATTACCAGTAATAAAAATTAAGCGTATATAAAGCTTGCAAAGCTACATAAAATCATTAGTTGTCAATCTACGAGTGACGTGATTGTTGTCTTGATAAAAAAGAGTTTGAATAGACTTTGTTTTACGCACATTTATTGTTCTCATAACGTTTATTTGTATTTGTCAGTTTATTTATAAAGAAAAGAGTGAGCATTGTAAGTTTATTTTTACTTGTGTAACTATGGTTAACGTTAGTATGACTTTGTCATTTGCTTGCATTTTGCGTACGACGCCATTTTGTGATCGCGAACATTCTTTGTTCTTTGTCTTCCAGATTTCGAGTTAACGCCTTCCCACAAAGAAATCAGTTTAAGTTTAAATATTATTTCAACAAGCCCTCTATCATTGTTACAGATTCAAAATGCAGATTTTTGTGAAAACTTTGACTGGTAAAACAATTACTTTAGAAGTTGAGCCTTCGGACACTATCGAGAACGTTAAAGCGAAGATCCAAGACAAAGAAGGTATTCCCCCAGATCAGCAGCGTCTGATCTTCGCAGGAAAGCAGCTGGAAGACGGCCGCACCTTGTCTGACTACAACATTCAAAAAGAATCTACACTACATCTTGTTTTGCGTCTACGCGGAGGTATGCAGATTTTTGTCAAAACTCTTACGGGAAAAACTATTACACTTGAAGTTGAGCCTTCCGATACCATTGAGAATGTTAAAGCCAAAATTCAAGACAAGGAAGGCATCCCCCCAGACCAGCAGAGGTTGATATTCGCAGGCAAACAGCTTGAGGATGGCCGCACCCTCTCTGACTACAATATTCAAAAAGAATCTACTCTCCATCTTGTACTGCGTCTCCGTGGTGGTATGCAGATCTTCGTTAAAACCCTTACTGGCAAAACCATCACCCTTGAGGTTGAGCCTTCCGACACTATTGAGAATGTTAAAGCCAAGATCCAAGACAAGGAAGGTATTCCCCCAGACCAACAGCGTCTGATCTTTGCTGGCAAGCAGCTTGAGGACGGCCGTACACTGTCAGACTACAATATACAAAAGGAATCAACCCTTCATCTTGTTCTACGTCTCCGTGGTGGTATGCAGATCTTCGTTAAAACCCTTACTGGCAAGACTATCACCCTTGAGGTTGAACCTTCTGACACTATTGAGAATGTTAAAGCCAAGATCCAAGACAAGGAAGGTATTCCCCCAGACCAGCAGCGTCTGATCTTTGCTGGCAAGCAGCTTGAGGACGGCCGTACACTGTCAGACTACAATATACAAAAGGAATCGACCCTTCATCTTGTTCTACGTCTCCGTGGTGGTATGCAGATCTTTGTTAAAACCCTTACTGGCAAGACTATCACCCTTGAGGTTGAACCTTCTGACACTATTGAGAATGTTAAAGCAAAGATCCAAGACAAGGAAGGTATTCCCCCAGACCAGCAGAGGTTGATATTCGCAGGCAAACAGCTTGAGGATGGCCGCACCCTCTCTGACTACAATATTCAAAAAGAATCTACTCTCCATCTTGTACTGCGTCTCCGTGGTGGTATGCAGATCTTCGTTAAAACCCTGACTGGCAAGACCATCACCCTTGAGGTTGAACCTTCTGACACTATTGAGAATGTTAAAGCAAAGATCCAAGACAAGGAAGGTATTCCCCCAGACCAGCAGAGGTTGATATTCGCAGGTAAACAGCTTGAGGATGGCCGCACCCTCTCTGACTACAATATTCAAAAAGAATCTACTCTCCATCTTGTACTGCGTCTTCGTGGTGGTATGCAGATCTTCGTTAAAACCCTGACTGGCAAGACCATCACTCTTGAGGTTGAACCCTCGGACACTATTGAGAATGTTAAAGCCAAAATCCAAGACAAGGAGGGTATCCCCCCAGACCAACAGCGTCTGATTTTTGCTGGCAAGCAGCTTGAGGATGGCCGCACCCTCTCCGATTACAATATTCAAAAAGAATCTACTTTACACTTGGTCCTGCGTCTTCGCGGTGGCCAATAAATGACTTAAAATATCTTTCAGTTCCAATGCTTTAATGTTATTTCATTCTTAATGTATCTTCCTTTCAGACTTTCCATAATTGTAATCATTCCACTTATGCTGAAGAAATAAATACATAGATTGATTGTAGACACTATCACCTACTTTTTTATTATTTTCCATTGCCTACAAACTTCAATAAATTAGTCAAGTGTGAAACTTGAAATTTGGCAAGCATTACACATTTGACTTTGATATCTAATTATTGCGTTTCTGAGTTTCATCTTTTATCAATATTTCATTACAAAACATCGAGACTACAATATTATAGTAATCTGAGCATATTGGTACTGATTAGTGATTACCAAAGATCCCTGGCGTAATATAATACAATTTTTGTTGTGTCAGGCTACCAACGGCACTTTTTGGTTTTGAAATGAACCTCGATTCGTTTAGTCCCTTACGTGTTAGTCCGTTGTCCCTATTTCGTAACGGACTATTAAATAAATTCGAAATACGTGAATCAGATTAGTCAAGAAGCGTAGTTTCGAAGATAAACTAGTCTGGCTCTGCTGCCAGACTGACGTCAGCCCCGAAGCGCCAAAGCTACAAATCTGTACCAAGAATGATTTCCAAAAGACTAACCAGCCCTGCGATACTGTAAAACTCCAAACCCGAATTCGAATTCTCTCAGGTGTCCGAATTGACTTCAAAAAGAGCCATACGCTCAACCTTGAATTGGTAATAACGTTTCGTAGCATAAGTGAAGTGAGTTTCGAAATGATATAGGAATAGAATATCTGAGACACGTGTATTCAATCAATTTTGTTTTGTATTTTTATACAAAAAAAAAAAAAATGGAATCAATAGAATTTTTACACTAAATGACGTGAATTCGGACACATGAGTGAATTCGAATTCGGGTCTGGATTTTTACAGAATCGCAGGGCAGGTCATAATTTTTCCCCTTATTTATCAATCTGGGACAGCGCCGATAAATGACCAAAGTATACTTTGGTTTATTAAGAAAACATTGGACTGACGTCGGTCTGGCAGGGCCGCGCTATATCATCTAAACTTAATCTAGAAAAGGAGTGAAAGTTAATTATTAAAGTCTGCCAAAGAAATGAACTAGAGTTACATTGGGTACAAGGTGAATACTTTAAAAATGCAATGTGATTATTTCTTTTATATTAGATCTGCCCTGCGATTCTCTAAATATCCAAACCCGAATTCGAATTCACTCAGGTCTCCGAATTCATTTCTAAAGCGGCATCCGCTCAATCTTGAATTAGTATTAACGTTTTGTGGCATAAGTGAAGTGAGTTTCGAAATGATATAGGAATAGAATATCTGAGACACGTGTATTCAATCAATTTTGTTTTGTATTTTTATACAAAAAAAAAATTGAATCAATAGAATTTTTACACTAAATGACGTGAATTCAGAAACATGAGTGAATTCGAATTCAGGGTCGGTATTTTTACAGTATCGCTCCCCAGAAATATAAAAAAAAGATGTTAATATAAAAATAAACCGGTAAATACTTAATTAGTGTAAAAAGCGACTGCATTTTTTAATGTAGGTAGGAATTATATTTTTATAGTTTATTTAGAAAATCTTAAGAATGTTTTTCAAACAAGCTTTTCTTTTGTATTATTCAATAAGTTAAGCTCTTTCATTTTATACTTTTCTTGGTTGTGTCGTTCAGAAATATGTACGCCGGTATCCATGGATGCGTTCCACACATCGGTACAGTTTACATTTGTCTCGAGTGTAAATTGTAATAAGTGTCGGTGCATATTGACGGAAGATGCGTTGCATGATCGTAGATGAAAAAGTGACAAATTTTATGAAATGACATTCAACCTTGCACGTTGCACACTGATCTGTCAAATATGTATCTGATATCGTCGATCGTCACAAGATATCCTACTCAGGACATTTTATTCACTAAGATAAATAAAAATGCAGCATTAAATTGTTAACATTTTATTAGGAGGCGAAAACGAGCAATAAGTTTTGGGATAAATTTTTAATACAAATCAATAATAATTTGTATTATAATCTCGTAAACCGTCAAGTTATTATTACTATGAAATTACAGTATTTAATGATTACAGTAACATGAACAAGATTAATAGACCATACATAACTGAATTGTACAGCAATAGCAATATATCTTTATTAGCCACAGTGGCGTTAGGTCTTAAAATTCTTTGTCAGGCTCAACAGCACTGGTATTATTTGTATACCTTACATTATTCGCATTTGGCAGGATTCGCGTTAATTATTTAAACAGTAAGTACTTAGGCTGTGTCGTCGTTATATAATTGACATTCATTACACACAGTAACATCTATTAAACTTTTCGATCAGCAATTCTCAGTGATCGCTGTCAATGTCACGGTCTCTGAGCCGTTGGAAGGTGTGAACTCTCTCTTAGTAAAATAATACTAAATAAATTTCATGTTCATTAACAAATCAATATTGTAATAGTGTGTATAATAACCCTTAGTTACTTATTTTTTAAGTAATAAAATCTATACACTTTTTATTATGTATGACGATGAATTTAAAAAGTTAAGTATATGATCACGCACTCAGTTTGATGGTAAACTGCATTTCCAAATATAAACAGAGTAAATGTATATTAGCTTTGAGTAAAGTAACAAATCTCTCGCCATGATTCTAGCCATTGGATTCGGCATCCTTTCGATGTTATGGCGATATTTAGTTTCATTTTACTACTTCGACATGTACCTTAGCAACGGTGCGCGAACTATAAGAGATAGTTATAGATTTGATAGTAGTGTTACCAACTTAGTCATTTATACCAAATTTGTCATAACACTGCTAACTGTATCCTATGGCTAGAATCAAGACTAGAGTTAGTGGGTCACATGCCTGAATTAACACCAAGGGAGCGAACGCCTAACTCTCTATTAAGAACGTTTAATTGATTTCATCAAAAAATACGTCAATATTATTTTAATAGTTTCGTAATAGCTTTGTATGAACATTATTGATCAAATATTATTTTAAATTTGAATCAAATATTATTAATTCAAATTTAAAATAATTCGGAAAACCTACAACATTCAAAAACCTTGATTTAATAGTAAATAATTAAAGAAGAACACTATAGCAGATTATAGACATATGTATTGGTGAAATCAATAAAACGTTTTTAAAGGTATGGCCAGTTATAGCTAAAGGGACAGACGGTCGGTCCCTAGAAATGTGGCATTGCCATTTACGAACATGCGAATCCAACCAAATGTTAATGAATGTGCTCGCCAACAGCTTTGGCTGGGTATATTTGTCAAACGTTCCATTTTACATCACATCATGATGCAAGCAATACTCAACGCGATGAATCAACACACCAAAGGGAGACTATAAAATAGGTGTTCTATCGTCAATAACTTCCTCCCAAAAATCGACAATTCGTATGAACATTTCTATACATTAATAACAACAGTCTCTATCTTTATACATGACAATGGTAATGTAATATTGAGAAAATAGCGACATCAGGATGCTCTCGAAACACATTTACCAGGTTCCAAGTAAACAGCATCAAAGCATCGCACATCAATACATTGAAACTTGATATCTTTCGTAACACTGATGAATTTACTCAAAATACTTACATTAAGAGACACTTGAGAATAGAACAATTATTTATGAACCTTACATACATCTAATTTTAGATCTAGGTATTGTCTTTTGTATGCCAGAAACGTGATCCAATGGGGTCTGTTCACTTTATGACAACGATGTAATGAGATGATATTAATAATTAATTTATATTTCAAATATTATTGCAAACATCGACTTAGGATAAATTGAAATACGACGACAAAACATGTTAAATCTTAAGTGCGCTAAAATAGTTTGTCAATTCTATTGAATAGATAGAGGCCTTGTATTTAAATTGCTAATTTATTTTATTTTTGGTATCAATTATGCTTCTTAAAATTTATAAAGGTGTTTACGATGACTAACATATAACATATTATGCGTAATAATAATTAAAAACAAAATTACGTACTATATGAATAAAAAAATAAAAATGTAAGCTTATTTAATACGCGGTAGGATACTGTAAAAACAGTATGATATTCTAACGTTATCACAATGACATTATAATATACAATTATTATATTTGCCAATAATAATACATCGAACATTAAAACGCCATAAATTTCTGGCAAGATTGAAACCATCAACAACACCCCTCCCTTTCCTCATAATTATTACATGTATGTTATAAGATATATTTGTATACATTTTTTCCATTTAGATAAATAATAATTACCCGCAAGATATAACTATAAAATCTAATTTCATTAACTAGTTACACAACGATAATCTAGTAAATATGTCCTGTGCTGTCAAAGATGCGAAGAGAAACAATAAAGTTATTATATGATGAAGAAAGTACTATACAAAGAAGATAGCATATCTACAAAAATAGATGCACAATTGATTTAACTAATTTACAAACATTACATTAAAATATCACTTTTCTGAATTGATGCTGCTTCGAAGGGCAACTGGCCTTCAACACATACTAACGACGGTAGTACTCATAAAATGGACAAGAGTATATTTTAACACGGTGATTTAATTTCAACACGTCTTCTATTATCAGATTTTAGCGTACGTACGTAAGGTGCATTTGACCTGAGCCAATTCTGACTAGATATTTGCGTGTTGAAGTGTCGCTAACACTGGGAACTACCATTTCAACTCTTACTTAAGTCACGCATTATTAAAATCGGAATGTCAGTATCTATGCAACACCAATAATATATTTCTATTATTATTTTGCAATAAAATTATTTTTATTACAATACTTTGTTAAGTCAATGTATATCGGATACATAGTTAAAATCTATGAAAGTGGTAAAATAATTACGAATATTTTTATAGTATTATCCTAATGATGTCTTACAATTTGGCAATAAATGCAATTTATAAATGATCATTTACAAATCAACAAATACTGTATGAGTAAACTATTCATGCATTTTTAAACTGTTAAATTAATGTCATGTAAAATTATACATTCGTAAATATTACTTTTTTTGTAAACTATTAGCTGTATAAAGGAGAAAAAAGTCCGGGAAGACAAAATGACATGAATCAGCATTTCAATGAATATGGGTGGTTTCATAATCATACAATTGAGCTTCTGACATAGTTATTAGATTCAAATTATAATAGTGGTCTAAATAATACTGAGTAACGAGATGATTATAACAACAATGTCGTAACACATTTTTAAGAAGTATTCTCGTCACGGCTATGATTCTTATAACAGTTACCGTAGAATTGTGTTATTAGCACATTATCTTGAGTATAAAGAGTATTTATTGTAGATATGCACGATACTAATCCATTCCTTTAGTTTGTCGCTCCACTGGGCCAGTCTTGAATGAGATCATTCAGAATACTTCTTAAGAAGGACGTTACTAGATAAATGGGATGTATGAAGTCGATGGCGAAGCTTACATATTGGGCAGTGGTACGGTGACTTGAACATAGCTGATGGGGAAGTAGCCGGTTTTGCCGTTGACGGAACCTTCGAACCAATTCTCGTCTACTTTGCTGATCAGCGTGATTACGTCGTTTTCCTGGGGGAAAGAAAAACTTGTTAAAAATGAAATGTTTTTAAAATAAACTAAGAAAAATAAGATTAAAAACGTTATTATATTAACAACAACTAACACAATTGTAATGTAACATAATTGTTACTTGGTGCATTAGCATTTAATTATGAATTAAACAATTATAAATTTCGATTTGCTATATTAATTTTGTTAGTTATACTTTTTTAAATTACTTTGTGTATTTCATTATAAAGTAACAATTAATAAGGTTTATGGGACTGTGGGGCGTGGTTGGATGAGGTTCGTTTTTTATCAAACAAATAGTATCGAATTTTATGATCTAAAGTTTCGTATTGACACTCTATTTTGAATCCTGAAATAGACGTGGAACAAGCCGGTTTTGTCAAAGGTAGAGAGGAACGAAATTTCTACAGTTTAACATTACATTATATATATGCTATATTGACTTTGGCAAGGCCTTCGATACCGTGAAATGGGACCTGACCGTTACCTGACCGTTTAATGCGTCTCATATGGCGGCTCTATGAGAACGGAACTGCTACTGTGCGGATTGACAACGTCGATTCAAGGAGTTTCCAAATATATGCTGGTGTTAGACAGGGATGCATACTCTCTCCACTTCTATTTAACACCTAAACGGAGTACATTATGAAAATTGTTTTGGAGTAGTGAGAAAAAGGAATCTCAACGAGAGGTCGGAGGACTTTTAACTTGAAATACGTTGATGATACAACTCTTCACGCTCGATTAAGAGAAGATATGGAGGAGCTGTTGGAAAACTTAGAAAGAATAAGCCTCTCACTCGGACTTTAGATCAATAGAGGCAAAACCAAAATGATGATCGTGGATCGAGCTGACCTTAATCAACATTATATCGCCAAGATTGGCAAATGTGAAATTATCCGAAGCTATGAAATTCGATTCGAGGAAATGTGCTATCATAATTCTAAACCAAAACTCCATAGAACGACTCGTTGTCGTAACACTGAAGATCGCAACAAATGGAGGCGCATTGCCAAGGCAGTATTATCCAAATCACTCTGTCAAGAGTGAATGTAGATTCATGATGATGATGCATGAAGTTCCATGGAGTTTTGAAAAAAATATTAATTACTTAAAATAGGGTGTCATTTCTCACCTTGAATCCGAGTTCGCCTTGGTTTTCCGGTTCGAAATCGTAGAGTGCGGTGCAGCAAGGCATCTTGTTGGCCACGACGGGTGTCCGTGCGGGCGACTTCACAGGCGACGGGAGTGGGGATGCTGTTTACCACACGACACTTTCATACAGGGACAAGGCGTAGTTTTCACGGAAAGTTACGCTTTATCACGATCAATATATTTATTTATTTTATATTATTATTTATGCACAATTGTACAAAGGCGGACTTAATGCCTTAGGCATTCTCTGCCAGTCAACCTTTAGGTAATGTGGGGATTAAAATAAAGGAAATAAAAAATAAAAATAATAAAATAAATAATAATAATATTGTTAATTATAACTTTAAATATAAAGTTATAATTAACAATACTGGATCTATTATTTTAGTTGAGAGAACCTTTGTATTATACATTTACTTAGGGGTAGGGCAAAAGTATAGAAATTCTATAAATAATATGAATTTCAAATAATTTTTGATGGTAACCCTGTTTTAATAATAGTCTGAGACAATTCTGTCAACGTCTACATAAAACTTCGGTTTTTTATTAAATTATTGTCAATAATATTTAATTTTGTTACATACTTGAAGTCAGAGTCCACCGAACGCCCATGCTACTTTCAACGCCTTTTATGATTATTTAAAGATATTTATGCCAAAGACTTAATTTAAAATAGGTCTAGACTGGCAAAAAAATATAGTGAACGGAAAAAACAGATCATACAATTTCGCAATTTTTCTGTTTTTGTTAAATCGAATTAAAGCGTAACTTTACGTGTATTATATAAGTATGTTGCTAAAAATTAAGTAATGATTTCATATTACCAATGTGGTGACAGCTTAACTTGGAATATTATAAATTGTTAATGAACTTGAACGAGAACAAACATTCACATAACCTACTTATTTGTTTACTTTATAAGTCAAGCTGTCCCAGTACCCTGAGATGACAATGTAAATTAGCATGATTATAACTCCATTAATATTACGATTTGACGAGATGATCATCGTAAGAACTTCACATAAGCGGCCATGAATTCGCCACATGCTAGATGCTAAGCTTGACAATGACAATACATGGAACGTAGATCAGCGAAGCGTCGTTATCAATTATGAAATAAACTATATTATCACCAGTACTTTAAAGTACTTTAAGTAATTAGTCCGCTTTGGCAGTCAATCTGCTTCCACGAAAGATCGAGCCATAGTAGTTAACTAAGCGGAATCACTGAAATAATGAATTACGTGGGATGATGTTAAGTAGACTGCTTATAACGATGTGCAACTTTAAAGACAAATGCAACGCATATCAATAAAACTAGGTTTCGGCCTTACTGCACTATTAATTACTCGTGTAATTAAATAGTGTTTTAACCAACTTCAAAAACGGAGGAGGTTTCTCAATTCGACCGTCTACTATGTTTGTTAGCGAAGAACTTCGTCGGTTATGAACCGATTTTAATGATTATTTTTTATAAGATTCAATTGAACGTGTTTGCGCTGCAAAATGTTACAAACCTACTAGGTATAATATCAGCAGTGCTATTCTGTAAAAAAAAACAGCTAAAGTCGACATCGTGCTCAGCTCTATCAAAGGCATAGAGGTACTTAGGTATTAAATTCTTTATTGATTTTTGAAGTAGGTTTTTGTTTGAAGTACCTTTTTGCTGTGACAACGTTATGCCTTACGACTAGCTCGAGGCTCTTTTTATCACAGAATAACATAACAGAGCGCAGTTTATTTTACTCTGATTAAGTTTTGAAGTACACCTTGTCACATAGTCTACCTAAGCGTATACGAAATCAACTTTTCCGCTTAATTACTACTGGCTCTTAAGGTCTAATACTCAACATTTAAAAATGACATGCGAGTTAAATGTGACGCTGAAGATCATTCAGTGAAAATGATAAAAAAACAAAAAAGCTAAACCAACTCTAAGAACAAACCAAAAAAGAAAACATTCTACCACTCAATAAAAAAAGAAACTCAAAAAAGATTTGAAGTGCTTATCATTTCTGTATAGTGTAAATGAATACTGTAGATGAATAATATTGATAGTTTGAATACTGTAACTGTTATAAAGTAGTGTAATAATTGTTCAATAACTCTGTTTGTACTACACACAGAGTTACCTTATACAGCTTACCTGAACAATTAAATAGTCATACTTTCATAAATGTTTTATATAAATTCTTAATTCGCAATGTTCACATTCATCACACAAACACGATTCCAATAATAAGTGTTCATTTTTCACATTTCCAATATATAATCCTAAATACGCTCCGAATATAGTTCCTTGAGAACGCAAAATTACACGAAAACGGGCGTTAGCTAAATAAAATAAAAATCTAGACTATCTGCACTAGGTATATCTACATAATATATTTAAAAACGATTTATATATCAATTCCAGATTCACAGGCATATCCATACTATGGCAACCTAAGCAAAGAAAGAAATAATGCTACCTTTTCCATCAGTCATCAGTCAGTGATAAGGCCTTTAAAATAAATATTTGGAAATGATAATATGTGTATGTCATGTGTAGTGACGTGTTACCATTGTTGGATCGCTGCGCGCCTCCCGAGCCGGGGAAGAGCTCGAGGTTCGATGGCGGCTTGTGCTCCGGAGAGCCGGCGTGCGATCCGCCTTCTACGCCGCACCCAAGCAAATACCAACCACAGTGTACCAATACATTTAACCGACAACTCTAACTTCAACTATTCATCATTGAAATTACCATATTTCGAACCTGGCTCTCTCTTACACGACGAATATAATTGTATATATATATTACATAGTATGTGTAAGTGGACTCATATATAAAATGTGCATGTCATTTTTCTGTTAACTTTTGCGTTTAGCACCTTCAGAAAGAGATAGAAACATCAAAAAGTGGAGTTACTACTCGCTCAAACACATGAGGAAGACGATAACATCACTCGGAAGATTTTTACAAATCTTTCAAAGGGAATTCGAAATTTGATGGTATGTAAATGTTAGCTTAATTATGAACTAAATAACAAAAGTAATATTCACAAAACAGCACAAGTAACTTGAAAATGGAAAATTTCTGCAATCGATTCTGAACTCTATGATATAGTTGCAATAGCAACTAATTTTGATTTTGAACTTCAATTACAAAATATTTATAATCTACTGGAGAAATTTTCGCTGTCGATTGAATATTAAAATACCATCAAATTTTCGAATATAATTATATATTAAATTCGAATTCCTCAATTTCAAACACATTTAAATATTGTCAAAAATACATCAATATTATTGAAACTAAATTCATAGATAAAATGCAAAAATAAATATTTTTTAATTTGAGTTTTGCTCACTCTTTTTAATAATAGACATTTATTTTATATCAAATATAACTATTATATTTGATTAATTTCGCATTCACAATGCTATACTGAAAAATATTTTTAATGAAGATGCTTAAAAAATCCACTTTGTCCCTGGCACTCTGAGATAGGACAAAGATGGATAGATTTTTTAAGCATTTTTCATTAGGAATATCAAACATATTTTTTAAATTAACACATGTAGATAAATTAATCAAAAGCTCTTTGCATTTCATCTACTTATATAAAATTTACGAATATAAATTTTATTGAATTCTGGAATGGACAGGAATGGGATAGGATTCGGCAACCTGAAAAGTAATTTGTCATTTTGCACCCCGCCGTTTTAGTGCACAAATATCGCATAATTATAATTGACATTAAAAAGCGAACTAAAAACAAAAGTCAGTGCCTAATCCACTGTAAAAAAAAAAAGAAAAAGAAATAGAAGCGTTGGAGTCAGTTAGTTACAATTTTGAGTGTGTTTTGTTAATATAATATTTATTATTGAATAGATGAACAGCAGTGTATATTAATTTTGATGTGACTGCGACAGCTATGATGATATAATGAAAGTTGGATCCTATCGACGAAGTGTAAAGTTCAAAATTAAGTATGTTACCCCAATACCGCCCGCCACCATAATTCAAACACTGAAAAGCGTGCAATGTGCCTCTTACGACCAATGAATTGTGATATAACACTGTATTAGTTTTTAACATCGTTTTTTTAGCATTGCAAATGTACATTATATTAAACTTATAATATCTTTACTTGTTTATAATATTGAGAGATATATTTAACCAATTTTAAAATGGTAAATTTGCTTTAATTAGTAATTATAATAATAATTAGCCCAATAGTAATATTTTCTCAAATAAGCAGTGTCATAGGGTGGGTGTTCAATATTTTATAGAAATAACTCCTATATGCATTCTAGTAAGTTAATAATGAATATATTGATACTTGCCACAACTATTTATTGCGATAATAGTAATTTGAGAGTGGCACCCAGTTCAATACCATATCCAGTATGAATACAAAGTAATATCCACCACACGTGAGAAGTATTAAAGTATTGATTCTGATAGCATTAACAAGGAATATATAAAAAAATATGATTAATTTATAATGATGTAATTAACATTTACAATCCCTGATTTTTTATAAGTAAGAAGAAATACTTTTGAGCTGTGTAATATCCATTTCGAAACTTTCTATCCAAGATGGGCATCCCGCAAGCTAATCAAACAAAAAAAACCAGCAAATAAAACCTAAGTCACCTGTCCACGGGTCCCTGCCGTTGACGTTTCTCGGCGCCGGGTGCGGTTTGAAGCCCACGGCGGGCGTCAGATCGCCGAGGAGGTCGACGGGCGACTGACGAGTGTACGCGGGGTGCGCGGGGCGGGACGCGGGTTTGAGGGGGGAGGGGGCCTCCCACGCCTTGAGCGGGTCGGAGGAGAGGTCGCCCACGGACGAGGAGGGGGGCAGGCGGGAGCGCGCGGGGCGGGAGAGGCTCTGCGTGGAACCGTACCGCCTACCATTGTTCAAGTCGTGGATGCCCTCGATGTTGAGATCCGCCAGGGTCTTCGGCACGAACTCCAGCTTGGGACGGTTCACCGCTTCGTCTTTCCTAAGGAACACGATAGCCATGTTGATCTCGCAGGCAGTGGAATGTTTTCCTTTCAGTTCAGAATGTTCAATTCGCGAAATATCCAGTTCCTAGAATGTCTAATCTATTATCATGACGGGTTTGTTGAATATACAGATGAATAATATTGTTTTCGTAGGTTATTTGAATTCACATGCTACGCGACTTTTTGGGTACCACGGAGGCTCAAATTATTTCGGGAAATGTACATTTCAGGAATTGTACATTACGAACTGGAGATTCTGAACTAAAAAGATGTTTTTAGATACTTTAAAACCCTTCCCAGACGGACTAACAACTAGTTTGTAATTTTATGTTCCGATTATATGAAACCGAGCAACCATGTAAATACGTATTCCGACGAAAGATAATAAAAAATATGAATTTACCGAGACTCTGATATCAAAATCATATAGTTAACATTAAACTATTTCGATCCGATTATCGCTATTGCAATTATAACATGTAGTATATATTCTAATAGTAAAACTAAAGCATCCTTACTTCTCCATAAGTGTCGAAACGAGCCCCTTGAGTATTTCCGTACATTGCTGGTGGTACTCCAAGAGACCCTCTGCGAAGAAACTAAGTTGGGCAACTTGCTCTACCTACGGATTAGACATTCGCTTTGACTCAAATAACTACTAAAGAAATAGTAATTTCGAAGAATTCCCAGTAAAGCTTTATATGAAGACTAATATCTACGTTATATCACGCTAAACAATCATGACCATTTCAATTAAATTCTAAAGATTTCATAAAGTTACACAATATAAAGCTCATGATTTAATCGAATTTTAATTTAAATAAATAATAAAATTTCATAAGGTGACTATTTGAATCGTTAACGCCTTATCTTTATTTTAAAAAGAAACACTACATGATGTAGTATCATACTTACATCATTATCCAATAAATTGAACATGCCAATCTGGGCCAGTTGCAGCGACTCTGCGAACTTGTCCTCCGCTTGTCTGATCTCGTCGTCTGGAATGTGAGAGCCTGATATACGCGCGACAAACACGCGACAACAACTCGCAACACGATTGACGAACACAAAACGACAAATAAAAAAAGAATAGATGAAAGATAAATAAAAAAAAATAAACAAAAAAAAAGTAATACAGACCAAACGCCAAAAAATAAGTCAGGTAGGTGCGTGAAATGTGCGACATGATAAGGACAGGCATCGCAGGATCACAGGAGCGAACATGAAATAAATTATTTAACTGTTATAGGACTTTGATTCATGGTTGTACCATTAAGGCTTAAACTGATCGACTTTTTGTCGGACGGCTGGGACGTAAGCCCTGAACGGTACATATTGACACACTTTAGTAATTGAAATAAAATTGGGTAAATTCTGTTCCATAATTTTCCCAGAATTATCATCTGACAAAAAGTCAAGAGTGTTTAAGCCCGTTAGCGTGTGATAGCTTCCTACAATGATAATAATTTTCGGAGGACAAACTAGCGTTGATTTTTATTTCTTATTATCATTATATACCCCACATACCCTGTCTTGGTGTATGACTCGGACTCATGTAAGGGCTGGCCCTACCGGGGCCTGGTTTCCGAAAAATAAGAAACAGTAAAATTAAGACAATCAAAAGTGCAACTTAAAAAGATTCAAATTAAATTGATATGAAGTCCTAAAATAAAGAGGCAAGTATAAATACCTTTTGCTTGTCTACGTCGCTTGCAGTCGAAATCCAGCCTACGCCCTTGTAGTTTCTTCCGATGGTGCTTTGAAAAAAAAAAATAACTTAGAAGTATTTCTTTCGTATTCGTACTCTAAAAACCAGCACAGAAGAGGAAATCGTTTCAACAAAAAATTTTAGATGTGTGCTTTTGATAATATACTACATTGATATAATTTACACAATTTACGTGCGTCCACACATTAATGAACATACATGAATAATATATTATTATATTGGCAGCCAGTGCTTATAACAGTGAAAATTACTATTATCTTAATTGTGACACCGCAAGGCAATCGTATTACATACTGCCGAAAAAAAAAGTAGAGTAATGAATCTCAAAATCTACAAATACAAATACCGTTGGTACAATTACCTACATCAAATAGTTCAACTTAGTGTTTTATCTTTTCATTGTCATATTCTGTTTAGTCATTGTTTAACAAGCTAATTAAATGTTATGTGTGTATAATACTATGTTAAATAGTGATTCAAAGTATAGTGTAGTACTTTGACGAACTGTTTAATGAATGTTTGATATTGCAATTAATCAAGCGAATTTCTTTAAAATAAAAGAAAGACGATATAAGGAGTTAGGTGGTTAACAAAATACAATAATAAAATCTGTCGCCTGTTGCCGTTGACTGCAACGGCACGTTAGATTATACTCATTAAGGTCCCAAGCAAAATACAACAATTAGATATCATGCAGTTTAATTCTACTATTAAAAAAGCTTATTAAAAGGTATCCGATTATATAACAGATAAGAATGCTTGGAATAAAGATGGTCCAGCGACTCGATAGGTGATTTATTCTAAACTCATTTTATCTCAAAGTTATCTTGTTGCCATTATTATTAAATTATTATGTTATCAATATAGTGTTTTTCTCTCTAGTTATAATGTACTGATCTGATAATGACATGGTTTTTGTGAATGTCATTACTCCTATTAGAGCTGGTGAGTTTCTTGCTCGTTCTTCTTATCAGAGAAAAGACGTCCTGAACGAGCGGTAGGGAAAAAAATTTGGACGTTTCAAAAATACTTTTAAGAAGTCTATTTGAATAAAGATTATTTTGACTTTGATACAAAACTGTATTTCCCTAATCCATTTAAAACCTTAATACATTGAGTGTAAATGTGAAAATGTATTTCGGCAATTCGACTTATTGTGGTAACCTGACGTGGAACTCTGTGTATAGAGACAGTTAAGACTACTTTCACATATATATGAGGGTTGTGGCAGTATAATATTGCATAAACCTATATTTCTAAGAATGCGCTTGTATTTGATTAAATATTACTCCAAAGCATTCTATAAAGTAAAAAAGAATATATTCTTACATAGATAATGACATTACTAATTACTTTTTGTTCATCTCTTATCTTAGAAGTATTCAGACTTTTAAATAATAGTATTTAAAAAAATATAAAGTGTTGGAATAAGTTTTTGTAATATACGACGGAAGCTACGGACAGATCACCGATTGAGGGTCTTAGCTTATTTAGGGTTTATTATTTTTTTAAAGCATATTATATAATAATACTTTATTTTATCAGCTACTCACCATAACTTCTTTCAAGTCTTTGGTCTGTAAATGGTGCAGAGGTTCCAGGAAGCTTTGTTTGATGTTATCGTCCAACGAGTATTTGACGTCCGCCATTTGTTTCAACGCTTCACCCATCTCAATCAAGCATTGTGCTGCAAGAAAATGTGGCCACTATAATACTTACTTTTTTCAACTGCATTCACTTAAACAGCTTAAAGGGCATTTGATATAAAAAGTAAAATGAAAATATCACGTCATCTTTTGACGCGAAAAAAACGTGAGACGAGTCCTTAATATATGTAAAGGACAATGCTCATGAGGTGAGAGGCCTGTGAAAAACGACGGGTTATTGAAAAAGAAAAACGCCCGGTACAAAAAAAAAATATGTACGTCAAATTATAGTTAAAAATACTAATAAATTTGTTTATATCAACCTCACTGCACCTGTGTGTTCTGTTACTGTACAAATGTCGAACTTATCTACCAGTCAATCGGAAATTAAAATCATCAAATAAAATAAGGGACCACTGAAATTTCACCTTAAAATTTAATCAAATATACCACTTTAATAAGTTAAAAAAAAATTTATAACAGAGAAATTACTTAAATAAAATGTTCCCAAAATCAAATCTACATTTTATTGCTGCTACGTACGAGGGCGGGATGATAAATAGCTAGCCCAACCCATATTTTGTATAATAACGATATAAAATCTCCTTAGCATTTTACTCATTGGTTCATTAGCTGCCAGTGTTCCAAATTTCAAATCGATCGTATAGTTTTTCTTTTAAATATTGACGTTTCAAAAAGCATTCTTTTGTTTTTTCTGCAAAATGGAAAAAATTGAGCTACGAGCTGTGATAAAGTTTTTGCATTTGAAAAGATTGAAAGGTGGAGAGATTTTTTCGGAGATGAAGGATGTTTTGGGAGAAAATGTTCCTTCATATGCGACCATAAAAAATTGGGTGGCTGAATTTAAACGTGGACGTACCAGCACCCAAGATGAACATCGTCCAGGACGTCCAAAAAGTGCCACTACTCCAGAAATTGTGATCAAAATTCATGATGCAATTTTAGCTGACCGAAGATTGAAACTTTCCGAGATAGCTGATACTGTAGGCATCTCTAAAGAACGGGCGCATTACATTTTGACTTAAGAATTACGGATGAAAAAATTATCCGCAAGGTGGGTGCCGCGATTGCTTACAGTTGACCAATAACGCGTTCGTATGCAAATTTCACAAGATTGTTTGAACCGCTTTCAGAGCAATACAACTGATTTTCTGCGACCGTTTGTTACTACAGACGAGACTTGGGTTCACCACTATATACCTGAATCAAAAATAAAATTTCAGCTATTTTCAAGTCACACGAAAGAAGTCCCGTGACATAATTCTTATTATTTTGTAATAAAAGCGAAGACATTGTGAATCGTTGTCAGTGAGGCGCCAGCGACTTTTCTCACTGCAGAATCAGCTTTCAGATGTTTAAAATGTGTTTACAGAATTATACGACAGTTTGGAATAACCTGAAGGAAAACATGTGTGTTATTTTCATAGCCATATACATGTTTTCCGTTATAATATGTACGGCGAGGCTAATAGTCCGATGAAAAGGAAAACAGAATGTGTACTTACAGAATATGGAATCTTCGCCGAGCTTCTTGCCGTAGTGAAGCATGCAGTCGCCCAGCACACCCTCGGGCTGCGGGTAAGTGTTACTCTTGGCTTGACCACTGAGTTTGCTTATACCCTTCACGGCCGCCATCTTAGCTCGTGCCGTCGGGTTCGGTTGGAGGAACTCTTTTGTTTTCGTCTGTAACTCCTCTACTAACTCGCAGGTAACATCTGTTTTCTGAAAGGGAAAACAAAACATGGTATTGTCAGTTATCGTTAAGCAGACATTTTATTTAAATTAGAAATTAATATATTTAAAATATTCTTTTGTGCGATCGATAGACTAAAGTAAAAAGCACCATTAATATAATAAAAATGTTTAAAAAATTCACTAACCCCAGGTACTCTGAGATAGAACTCAAAATCACGACTTTTCGCAATCTAGGCGACTGCTCTTATCACTAAGCTACCCAGAACCTAACAGGACAGCCGATTTTTTTTTATTTTTTATGACGACTGTATTTTATTTATTTTTGTTTTTTTTTTAATACACTCGTTAGTAGCGAAAAGTAGCAAGTACTTAGAAAATTCGTCAGTACTGTAAATTTGTTCTAAATATTATAACTGATCAAATATAATAATAAATATACTTAGTCTGGTTATAAATACTGTTAGAATTAAAATAAACAAAACAATACTTTTGCATTTCGAATCTGTTAATTTTTATATGATTGTCAATTGTCTTTTCTTATTTTCGCGCCAATACATTATAAAATATTGTGTAATATTATAATGGAGTGGGATGATAAAGAGAACCGCAACGCTGTGATTGCATTATATAAAGTAGATATGGAGCCAAACATAATTTTCAAAAACCTCTATACGATTTGTATCGGGCTATTGATAGGTACAGTGAAACCTTCTCTGTTTGTGACGGAAGAAGATCTGGCCGTCCAAAAGATTTTATCTCGGGAGATGAAGACAGCAACTAGAACCATGACGCAGATTAAAAAAAAACTTAATACTTGCAGCCTATAAAACACGCACTAGTCATTTCTTAAAAGATAATTTAAAAAATAATAGGGTGATAAAATCAAAATAAATACTACCGAGCCATATTTTTGTGAAAAAGACATAAAAACATCGGCACATGTGTTTCAAGATACCATTTGCGAGAAGCTAGTTAAGCCCCTTAACAACACCATGTTCAATAACCAAGAATGGTCCTTTCAGCAAGACTCGGCGCCAGGTTATAAAGCTTGATCCACCCAATCTTAGTTAGAAATGAATGTTCCGGAGTTCATCATAGCTCAAGACTGGCCGTCATCAAGTCCAGATCTTAATCTGTTGCCAGATCTTTATCCGCTGGATTAGGATTTATGCTCAGATTTAGATAGTAAGGCTCTAAACGCTATGATAATTTGGAGTCCCGAAAACAATCCATACGATTGGCAGTTAAGAATTTTCCCATGGAAAGTGTGTGCGTCTATTGAACTGGCCTCAACGGTCAAAGGACTGTATTGCAGTTAATATAGACCACTTCTAATAAGCAATACATATTTTAATGGCTTTATATTAACGTATTAAACTAACACACTGTAATGGTAATAAATGTTATGTTAAAAAAAACATAATAGACATAAGATTAGAAAAAAAATCTTGTTTAATAAAATTATTATTTATTATCAATTCAATTTGGCATATAAATAGTTAGAGTAGTCGCCCGGATTGCGTAAGGTCATGGGTTCGAGTCCCATCCCCGAGTGCTAGTGCCGAGTATATTAGGAAATTATTTACATTATACTATATAACATTTATGGTTTCCTAAAAGCTAAACTTCTAATCGGCTACTTTATCTAATAGCAACTTTGAACACTAGGTAGGCGAATCTAACATGATAGTAAGAAAACAGTCAATTTATTTCTCAATTTTAAAATAGTAGTTAATAGTCCCGTCCAATATTTTTTGTGACATTGTATAAAAAACTTCAGACTAAATATTTACTGGGTAGAAAATATATTTCAATATAGTAATTGTCAAGGAAAATTGTTGAGATTACTTACTCTCTCCATTTCCACGAAGTCCAAATCCAATTTGGTGCCCTCGGCACCGCCCATCTTCTCTGTGACATACTGCAAAGTAATTACATTAAATTTTATTAAGTGGATTTATACCTACAGAAAACAGGTTTGAATGATTTCATAATAAGAATATCATATCTCGATATATTTCCAATTATCCTCAATGAAACGCAAAATACAGAGGGAAACAATAAAAATATTTATTTTTTACCAGACTGCGCAACGCTAAAGGAGGGTAATGTGTTTATGAGTTTATGTATGTACCTATATGTTTGTTTGCAATATAGAGACCAAACGGCTTGGCCAATTTCGATGATTTATACGTCAATCGAATTGTCATAACCTTGCGCGTATCACAAAACACATAATAATCAAAATTCATTTTTAGGGTACTTCCCCGACATGTAAAGTGGGGACGACTTTTTATTTGAGCCGAGTGAGATCTCTAGATGGACTAATAATAATCAGTAATTTTAGACTATCGCATTTTGTTTAATAATCTTTACGAAATAAACTCCCTCAATGAAATGACAAGATTGCGAAAACCGTCTTATAGTTCTAATAACGAAATCAATGAGAACTAACTAAAAAGCGTAAAATAAAAATTTAATTATAAAAACAAAAAACCCAACTGCGGTAAAACAAAAGAAAGAAGTGAAAAAGAAATATGATTTCATTCACTAAAAACTAAAAAGAAAAAGACAAGCCCAGTGGTTTAGAATGTTATTAAGTATGTAGGTACTACTATTATAATTGCTCCATTGAAATAGTTTTAAAATCTATGCACATTTCAAATTATACGGGGCTCCGTTGATTGGTCAAACAGGAATGGGTCCTAACTGTTGATCCTTTTGAATTTATGATATGTTTTATGAGCGTATAGATTTTAAAACTATTTCAATGGAGCAGTTATTCAGTAGTACTTAATAACATTTCAAACTACTGGGCTTGTATTTTTCTTTTTAGTTTTATATATTTATAGAATGGTATAAGAATATGAATAAAGAAATTAGAATTGGTCAAGCATTTGTTTATTACACGATTTTAGTACCAAATCACCTTTTATACTATTATTTTAACTACTAATAGTTCAAATAAGTCAAATCGATCAAATTCAATATGAATTAATTGTAAATGTATAAAAGTACTTTAACGCAGCTATATTGACCAGTTTTTGTGCCTATATCTGGCATTTGCTAATATTATAAAAAATATTACTATCTAAAGTTGTTGTTATGTCAGGCCGGTTCATTTTGTAAAATCATCTTTTAGTACCAATTCAATAAAATATTAAATTAAATTATTACTTTAATTCTTGTCTTCAACACATTTTAATTAATGCATCCGATATAAATCGATATAACTAACAGGGAGTTAGCAAGCTGAAGAGGCAATAAAGAGCCCGCTTAGCATGATGAACTAGAAAAACTGGAGAAACGGGCGACAGCGAGACTCAGAATGAGATATTGTGTCTATGGGTACATTTCACTCACGACCCGTTTACGAGCGTAAGACACTTGACTTTGAATTTTTTGCCTGACAAAACGTTTGACTCAGAGGCACATTTTCATTAAATGACGGGTCATATTTTTCCATTTGCATGAAATGCTATATCTAATATTATCGTCAAAAGGGTTGTTCTCTACGTTATAGCAACGCAACTATTGTTTAAAAACTTTATACAAAGGACGACTCGGAAGTATCGGGAATATGCGCTCCAACAAAAGCTCGGGCCGTGGCCTGACCTTGACCGAAATACAAGCATCGTCCAATACGGAGTAGAACGTTTAATATACCTATATCAAATTGAAATTTTGATAACTCCTTACTGGATGTTAACTCATCGTTAATGGTGCAAATCGACTTACGCAAGCGGTAATCTACAGGGAGCAGCTTTTTAAGATGATAGCTTTGCTTAGTGATTTTAAGCACTGATAACCTGATACTTACATATACCTTGTTAATTTTACATTATGCAGTAGAGATTTTAAATTGAAACAGTAAAAAGTATTTCATAAATAAATATTTAACAACACCACTGAACAAACAAAAATTAATTTGCTATTTTAATCCGAACGGGAACAGACACCATGAAACGTTAAGGTCTTCTACTAGCTTTACAGAATTTACGATTTCACAGATCAGTCAGTGGTGTAATACAAGATGGATATTCAGACTTATTTATAAAGTCAAAACTAAAAAATATATTAAAATTAAGTATATCAAAGTACTGAGAATGCAGTACCTAGTCGATACGGGATTGTGTTGTGCCCCTGACACAAAAAAATCGCTAAGACCCTTTGCAATCTTATTTTCCAAATATAACACAATTGCAAAATAATAGGGTTTGTAAAACAAAGCCTCCACGGCACCATAAATGTGGAATAACGATGTAGTAATGCATAAGTTGAGGCGTCATTCGAGTACCAGTGAAGCCTAACGACTGCTCAGACATTCTGTCACTACACTTAGCTAGTCAGGAAAAATAATAATAGACCAGACTATATTCAGCATTCAGTTTGATGTTCAATACTTCATGAATAATTTATTTATCTAACTATTCTTGCTGCCTGTAGGGACTTATCTTCCTACAGGGATTAAGCAACATAATAGCAATTTAGTTTCATAAGCATTAAGTATAATGTAAAACAATCTCTTCGTGGTTACGTCGTGCAAATAAATAAAAAATTCAGGACTTTTGTTGTAAATATAATTTGTTTTAAATAGATATTTAATATTTATGTGATACCTATACAAAATTTAAAAAATACTTAAGTTGAGGCTGAGGTTTTCTGTAGTTTTTTAAGCGATAACCGCCTGACTTCATTGTTTCTTTCAAAAATTTAACTCTATTTAAAAAAATGTATTTTCAAAATTCAATCAATTTTCCATTTTTTTAAGTTTCAAATCGGTTCAATTTTTATATGACTTTAGAAGAATATTAAAACAAACCCAATAAAATTAAGATGTTTAACGTAGTCTAATTTAGAGTGTAGAATAGGTACCCATGTGGAATAAATTTATGTTTCTGTTGTTAGCAAGCAATCGATGATATGTTTAATTTTCATAAAATGATTTTTATTTGGCAAATATTCGCATAGCCTCACAATAAAATTGGTTCAAAAGTGTTAATTTTGAACAACCTCGCCTCAACTCCTACCCTTCCCGCCAGCGCTTATGAACATTATAATAAAACAAGAATAAGCTGTTAATTTATAATTTTAATTAAAAGTTTAAACAACTAATGACCATAGTAGACTTTACACGCGAACGTAACATTTAGAATTTTACATTGTGATTGGTGTTGTTTAATCGATCAGCGGATCGACTACAATCTTAGTTAATAATATATATATAACGCTGACCGTATTACGGAAATCAATATAACTTTAGGAACCAGTCTGTGTCTTTCGGTAAAGTTCGAGAAAACGTACAGTGTTTCGTTCAAAATCACATGAAAATATCAGTACTTTGTCCTTTTTATCAAAGCTTAAGATAATTTCTTTACGGAATCAACTTTTATATACACCTGTATACAAACACGAAAGTAAACCCTACGTAGAAACTAAAAATATTTATAAAACTAAAACGAGACTTCAATAAATCTTAAAATAATAAAAGTTTTGTACCAGAATAATTATTAAATAATAAGGAATAAAGATACCAAAATTTTTAAGCAACCTATTTCAATAAAAATGATAAATATAACTGCAATATTATTTCACAATGCTGTGCCCCGCCCCTCCGAGCTCAATTTGTATGGCCTCGTAGCGAGCAAGAATATAGGTACGTGGTAGCTCAATAACTAGCACTCCAAATTATTTTTTATTCTCTAGAACTTTTAGAACAAAATTCACGTCCTAAACTTCGCTGTGCCGCTCGTGCCCGATTTTGTAACGAGCTGTTGTCTCCTACAGCACCGTAATACTTTATACGGCGTAGAGTTCTATCCTACGTCGTTTTAAGAGTACTACAGTACCACTGAACTGAGTAATATTTACAAAATAATTTGCTTATCCAACAGAACGATGACATAATTTTTCCTGTAGCCACGTCCTAAGTGTATATTTGACTATTTTTAATTCTAGATTTTGAATGTCTGTAGGTAGACTATTGTAGATTTTTACTGCCATAGAACATGTCTTCTAGAACACATGGCTGTCCAACATTTTTGTAGTAGTAATCTATTTGGACGTCACAGCTGTCTATGCGTGGAAAGCCATATAAAGAACTACATGGGTGTGATTTGATTGTAGATTATATGACCATACATACAATTTACATCAATTTAAATCGCAGTCTCCGATCTGATAACATTAGTCTTGATAAAGATTTGCCAAAATCGCAAAAAAAGGAAACCACTGATTTGATTTCGATAAAATTTAGCCCATTAAGTTTCCTAATAAAAAAAGAAATTTGAAAATCGATTTATAATTGGCGGATTAATTGCGTAATAAGCGCACAAAAAAAAACAGTCGAATTGAGAACCTCTTCCTTTATTGAAGTCGGGAACAAAATGTGGTTTATTTCATTTGCTGGTTTAGTATTCATAGGAATACGTAACTATATTCTATTTGTAGAAATAACAAATAAACTTATTACCTTTCATAATATGACATTAATAAAATTGCTACTTTCCTATTTGCTTAATAATTTCGATAAGCAAGACTATCAAAAGCCGATAAATCGGTCCCTAAAGAGACAACTTTCAGTGACAAAATCTTTACTCCTAGTTAAATATCGGATAGATAATGGATAGGAGTCAGGGGTCCTGAGAGACACTGAAGGGCGCGGTAATTGGGGCGCGTCGATATAGGACAAAGGGTCACGGCCACCAGCTCCCGGCACTCAGTGCAATTTAGACAAGGACACTTGCACATAGGTGCATGCATCGATGCCCTGTTAAAATATTTTGTAATCTTCTATGTTACAAAAATACGTCTCTAGTGTTTTATAACATACAAAAGTACATAATATTAAATAACCAAATCACGGACCTTTTTAATAACTAGCTTTCCAGCAGCGGCTTCGCCCGGATGGTTTGTATTATACATTCGCCCGCGAGATCTTTTATTAGACATAAAAATCTTCCTTTTGAATCACCTTATCTATTAAAAAAAATCCGCTTCAAAATCCGTTGCGTAGTTTTGAAGATTTAAACATACATAGGGACAGAGATAGACTTTATTTTATACGTAGTGATGTAAATAACATTGCGGTATGTTTGTTAAGTAGCTTTCGCAATGGTCGGTTATAGGGTGTCCAAAAATTTGTTATCTCGAGTTCCTGCGTGCTTCGGAAGGCCCGTTAAACCGTTGATACCGGCTGCATCTCCAATCTTTAACACCAATCAATCCGCATTGGGTCCGCGTGGTGGATCATCATTGCCCATTCTTTCTATTCGATTCCATCCATAAGGGAGGCTTGAGTCCCAGCAATGAGAACAGTAATAGGTGGTGAATGTGATGACGATAATCATTCTGCATCTAGATCGCTAAATTCGACGAATCAACGAACTCTTCTCATTTCATTATTATATTTTAAGATCGTTCTACTTGGTTAATATATTTTTTATTATACCCTTGATTTTTTTAAGAAGTATAAGCGTAACTATTTACCCTGTGGTAACCCTAAGTCAACCGTAAATCAATCCGAATGAAACGCACCGAAGTAAGCCAAAGAAATAAATATTATTTTTATGAAAGTCATGAACTCCGCACACCAGTAATAGCCGAATTGTCGAAATCTAATGTCATCTGTAATTAATTGGCGAGGTGTAAAAAAAATTTGTTTCCTTCGGCTCGGATTGACCTGCTATCAGCCTAATAATAATAAATTACCATATAACCATTAGAATTTCGTACCATGAAGCAAAAAGCTGAAAGATATCATTGAAGAAATTATACCCCTGACATAAAAATTTAACAGAATATTAAAGTAGGTGCAATTCTGACGGAAGTTGATACGCTCGACGAATCTATTGTTAGATAAATAAAGAGGCACCAACCCTTAGTCAGCAGTAAACAGACAGACATAAATTAAAAATTATAATCCTATTTATGTTTGTCAACTCTCAATTTAAATCTGACAAACTCGTTCCTAAGTAAATTAAATGAAATTATTATTATATCAAAATATGAAAATCTAGGACGGTACAGAAACTTCTGAGGAAACTGAAATTAGGTTACATCTTCAACTAATTCAACTAACAAAATCTTTCACATTGTAATAGCGATTATAGCTTTATTAAATAATCAAATTATTGGGTAAGATATATATCGAAACAGTTTAAAAGATCTCAAATTTCTAATAGAATTTTGACGCGGGTTGAGTTGCAGATCAAGAACTAAACTATATTCGTTTTAGCTTAGTCCACATAGCTGACACAGTTTTTACGGATATAAGTATATCAAGGAAATCGGATATTTTTTAATTTTTGTTGTAAAGGTTGGATTGTTTGAAACAATCCTTATTGCTTATAATCATGAAACAAACCCTGCTATAAGTTTTTATGAAGGACATAGCTAGTTAGTAAAAGTGAACGCGGTTTTTAAATACAGTGATAATTTATGTACATCATAATTTAAAGGATTTATATCAAGATAATGTTCATAATAACAATGAAGATGAGATAAAACATGAATACATTTATCAATGAAGATACAGAATTATATTCTTCATACGCCTACTATTGCGTAAATAACTTTATCACTTATCTTCTTAAAAACGGATCTATTGACGAAAACATTAGAGAATAAAACGCGGCTCAAAGGAATTCCGTTTATAGTTACTCGTAATTTTATTTAACAAAGAGAATACTTATTAAGAGTGGGGGTACATTTCACAGAGTCGGAGCGGAATCGGAGATTAATCTTCCGTCTGATTCGGGAGAAAAAGATAACATTCCGCAGGCAATTTGAATTTCTAACAAACATCCAATTAAGGAATCGGACTTATGTATATATTAAAGATGTTTACAAAAATATCATTGAGATAACTATTAACAAGAAGGACGTTGGGAACAACAAAATACTAATAATAATTATTTAAGATATGAGTGCGGAAAGTAAGGTTTTACGAATAAGGGCCAAATTGAAAACACGAGCGTAGCGAGGGTTTTCATTGGCACGAATTCGAAAAACCTTTTACGCTCAAGTTTCTTACAACATTTTTCAATGTTTTTTGCGAGGAAATAAAACAAATATATAGGTTAATAAAACTAAGTATGTATTAAAGGTAAAAATTATTTGTTAAAATTAAACGTGATATTTGAACATGTTTCTTCGTTTTCGGCTCGTTCTAGGCTCCTTGAAATACTTTTGCCTCTAAAGTTTGACATATTTTCATCAATTTTTTTTTAATTTCTTTGGTGCTCGGCCAAAAAAAATTAAAAAAATACTTTTAAGCACGTGTACAGTAGAGGATTTCAGTACATTTTTATTCAACACGTGTTTAAAGACTAACTTTCGGTGTTTGCAATGGATTAAAAAAATAGCGCTTTTTCAGCAACTGCATTGAAAAGATATATTAACTAACTTTACAACCATGCCAGTCTACCGAACTCAATTGTCTTTGGACAATTGATAATTACGAGTTTAAAACTTTGTTAGCAGTTTTAGCAGCCATATGAAAACACTTTCTTGTTAATCAAGGTTCTAGGCAGCACAGTAATTATTTATGGAACCTCAATGATCATTATCTAAAAACGTAAAATTTTGATAAGGGTAAACAGACGAATGAAATCTGCAAACGACCTTACGTAACTGAATTTTGTATATCGTATTCTTTGAAAGGAAAATGTATATTACCGGGAGGAAATAAACCTCAGTGAAAGCAGAGCAAACGGTTATAACAGCCAATAGTACTACCGTAGGCCGTGCAGAAAACGCAGACCTTGCGTCTATCAACTTTAATGAACTCGCGAGATCCATTCAGTTAATTGGAAAATATATCATTCGAGCGTCACAGCATAACGGTAAATTGATTTTTAACTTAATTGCCTTTTTGCTTACACCGAAATCACGATCTAAAAGTTAATTGCCAGAGTATATCCTTTTTTCACCCGCAGTTTTTCGGAAGGCATGTTAAGAGTTGATCCCGGCTGCATCCGCAGTCGTTAACACCCAACCAATCCGCACTGGTCTCGTGTAGTTGGTAATGGCCCATTCTCCCTATAATTTAATTAATAATAATGATTATTTGATTCCATTCTATGCATAAGGAAAACAGCAGTGGGAACATCAATAACCTGGTAATGATAATCCCTTTTTATTCGACAAACTTAATCCGACGTTGAAATCAAGATTTTATTGAATAAGGCTAGCGGCTTTAAAGAAAATCTATTCGCCAGACCGCCAAGTGTAGCTATAATGATAATGTCGTTAGCGTATAATAGCTGAAAGCTAACAGAACCCTGATATTCGAGATTATCCAAATAATGCGTATAAGGTATCGTGTTAAGTGATCCTTTTAATATGAAGGTGGCTACAATTTTTTATAACATTATGGACTCTCATCATTGAAATTATCTGGTTACACTTGTGAAAATGCTTTTATTTTCAAATTAACGATTTTCTATAACTTTTTTAATCAATACTGACTCAAAATGACTAATGCTTTAAAAGCTTACTTTTAACAACAAACTTTACTGATATTGAGCGTCGGAGGAGGAAACTGATAATATTCCGGTCTATCTTTTAAAAGTTTTTAATCTGGAACCGCCGCGCTCCGCTACACTCTTAATAACGAGGTTCTTAAGAAATATTTTTAATAAAAAGTCATCCTCACCTGATTAGCTTTGTTGATCTGTTTCTTTAGTCCAGCGAAAGCCATAATTCAGCTTTCTTATTGCTTATAATTTCAGATCTGCAAAGGAGAAATAAATTCATTAATAACAATCACTAAGTAAATATAAATAAAGAGAACGTAAATTGTACCCAAGTTATAATAACTTTCTCATCTGCCATCATAACTTCTCATCTCATCGTAATTAATGTTAATCCAGCTATCAAATAAGTTGTGAGTACATTTAAAGTTTTAGTAAATATATCGCAAAATAGAAAAGAAATAGAACTGTGTATAAAACATGAAACCGAATAATATCATTTACCTGCGCGAATAATAAAAAGTTTGACCAGTCAGAAGAGCATGGCGACGCGGCAGACTCTTAACATTAATGGTTTTATTAAAAAGTATTATTGACGGATATGCCACAACTTCTAGAAGAGCAGAGAGCGGCACCAGTTTGTTATTGGCGGCGTGCCACATTCTCAGATCAATACGCCCGCTGCTCTAACTAACATTACGTAACAATGGCCCAACATTACCCACTCTATCGCATTGGTGCATTACAACTCGCGATTGACCGCTGCTAACGTACCACAAATGGGGTTACGCGAATCTGTTCACTGATTTCAAGAGAAAACAATGAACTCAATTATCTCAATAACATATGGTTTCTTTTCGTTAACCATTTGCGATGTTACCTATTATTTTATGAGCTACATTTTTACATTTATTCAGTATTTCAATGTTGACATACTTTTCTTTTAATAACTTTGAATAGATAAGTAAGAAAATAATTAATTGCTAAACATCATATTTATTTATATTTATTTAATGTAGTGAAATTAACAATGTATTATGTATATTCCAAAACTACAGTAGGAACAGATGAGGGTTTTCTTTAGTTCTAGTATTTACTAGAATCCTGAATTTCTAATCACAACAAAATTGCCATTGTCGAATGATGAAGGTCACGATACAGTCAAAAAGTACTTATATGCACACTAAACAAGGGGTCATCCATAAATTACGTCACATTATTCCGACGAACTGTGATCATTAAAACAATATTTAGTAGAATTTGTATCCTGAATTTTGTGTGACGTAATTTATGGACGACTTAGTGTTATTCGCATTGTAATAACAACATTATTAACAAATCAGAGCTGTAGCTCCTATCGTACATAGCCAGCAGATAAGCCTATTATCAGAAACACGAATGTTAAATCTATCACTTGCGTTTAAAATAATATTATTTCAAGCCGCATTAAATATTGCCATTAATGGGTGACTGGTAATTTTATTTTGATTTGCTATCTTTTATTGCTCGTAATAAAGTGTAATTCATTTAAATTATGTAAGGAGGGCGTTCTTGGTTTATTAACGACGCTTGAAGTCTATTAATTTTCTTTCCTAAGGATTTTCTTCATAAGATGATTGTTTAAAGCATTCCGATAATGTATGTGTGAACAAGGAATATGAGCTCGATTACTCATTGACAGAACACAATGACGGAACAGATAAACATATCAGAAGTACGGTTGACGCTAATCTAACCTTCGTAAAAACCAATTCAATTTCACGACATGCACGGAACGAAAATGTGGTTGGAAAAAATATATAGGCAATATCTGTGGAAAGAATCAGGAAACAATGAACATAATGATGTTTTGTTGTTATTGCATTAGTGTTTTCGAATGTACTCTTGACTTATCGTTGAATATTGTATCTGCTTTTTTCTTTTAGATTTTAGACGTTCAATTATTTGACTATTGAAATCACCTAGTAATTTCCTTTTCGGGTATCCTTTGGTGACATAGGATCTTTGATTTAATAAGAAAGTGATATAAAAATAAAGTTCCCAAAAGGATTAATTGTTAATTGCTAAAAAGCTACTGAGAAATCTCTATACATAAAAAAATCATAAAATATTCATAAAGTAATAAAATTATTTATACACAAAGTTTCAGTATGCTTTACTTGGTAGAGCAGACGTTAGATTGTAAAGTCAATTAGAAACGTTGCTTTTTTATGTCACAACGTTTTAGTTTCTATATTTTTTGTTCCTTCGAGAAAAGTTGCACTTGACCGTGGCCGGGTTTTATCTGGTAAATAAATATTAGACAACAGAAAATACATTACTGGGAACCTACATTCTATTCATAAAAAATACTCAATGCGTGATCATTTTAAGTGAAAACTGTAAAATTATGACATTTTTTCTATGTTTATTTGAAGACACAGATTGTAAAAACTAACTGCCGTATACACAATATTCGAATTTAAATTAGCATGAGAAATTCTCAGCCGAATTCGAGTGGAAGAGTTTTGATGAAATTTGGCACGGAATATCAATAATAAATAAAGGATCTACGTATTTTATTCCATTAAGGTTTAACCCTTCCTAAAGTTGCGATTCTGAAGTATACAGACAAGGTTATAAGGTAAATTCTAATGCTTTATATAAAGCAATCTAACTACACCTAAAAGATCCCTTAATTAAAATACTTACGTTTAATTGGGATAAGGGTTAGTTGGGGCATACAATATTACTAATAGTCTCTAGCGAATATACGGGTTCAGCTTGATCCAGGTGATCAATAATTGGAATTAGTGATTTACAGTTAAGTTTCTATGTTCAAGGTATTATGGATTTCGTTTTGATATTGCCGTTGGTAGTAGAATTTATGCTAATATTATAAAGAAAAAAGATTTGATTGTTTGTTTGCATCGAACAGGATGCGAAACTACTATTTTTAAAATTCTTTCACCTACGGGTAGCTTCATCATGTGCGATGGACACGGCCTATATTTTATCCTGAAAAACAGAAATTAAAGGTATAAATGGGAGTGGAAGTTTGTATAAGGAATTAAAACGTTACCATAGTAACAATTGTTTGTTTGGCAGAATTTCACTCGGCAATTACAGATTTTGACACAAATAAGAACAATAAACACACATACACCACTGGTCAGAGTCTCTAACGTCACATGAAAACCGTATTTATTTTATAATTGCGATTCTTGGTCTTGTTTATGGCACAAACCATACTATAGGCCGTTCGTTACTAAATTAAGTCTGGGTTCTTATTGTGTGATCAAATTCTTTGACTCTTTCATTGAATATTCAGTCCGCTGCACATAAAAGTCTTTAGAAAACCAACCAATACGTAGTAACGTTAAGTAATCTAAGAATGAGATTGAAAATTATTTAGATAGATGTCGATACTATGGTACATCTAATTTACGACGAATATCGCGAGTCAATTTTACTGAAATCTAATTAAATAAATCCGACATGTCTTGTATTAGTTTGATAAACAGAATAAATAATAAAAATAAATAACCCTTAAACGGGCTTAAGGTATATTTTCGTTCATTTTAAGACCATTCCAATAGTTTTCATTATACGTAATGATTACCAAACTGAGGCGGCACGAAGTGCACTTGATAATTGATTCAATTCTTCAATATTTATTGTTCAATTCAGAATGAAGTTTATTACTAACATACTTCCTAAAATTAGACCCGAACCAATTCATTGTGTATAAAAGACGAGATAAAGATTAACACTACAGTATAATAAGTCCTGTCAAATAACTAACCCGCTATCAGTAACGAAGGGTCATTACCTCGTCACGGATATGATCAAATAAATTAATATTTGTTAGAAAATCTTTTGCATTTGTAAATTTATTCCGTTATTTTGATTCAAATTATTTATGTTAGATTTTCTTTTTTGACGCCTGTAAATACCAATAATTATAGGTGTTAGTAATTATGTATTTTAACATATTTACACGATTGTGATTTTTTGTGATAGTAAATAATGAATTTGGGTGAAAATCTGACCTCTGTTAATCTCCGCTCGATAATGGATTAAATTTTCCACGTGCCGTTACTTTCGAATTCTATAGAAAAAAAATTGGGTTATCTATTATTACCGTTCAGAATATTTTCAGATTTTGAAAGTACAACTTTGATACTTAAGCAAATTAAAAAAAAATTTAATGGAAATCATATAATATATATATCTTATTATTTATATAAGTAAAATTACTATTACTAGCTTTTTCTACATATATGTCTTTTACTATTACTTATTTTATTAAAAGATCTTGCTGTAATTACTTACGATTGTTTTTTTGTAAGTATATCAATCCTATTAAATTTTTATATTTCAATAGGCTATGCGTATGCGGGAACGTTTCAATTCATTACGACATCAGTCGCTGAATCAGCAGAATATATGCCTTACACTAATCTAGTGAATGGAGTAAAGTCATATTTACCTAATTTATTATCTCTCCGATTTCCTTTCGTCTATTTCAAAATCACTATCACAAAACACAATCGGCAAAAGATCATAAGGGGGCTTTTCGACTTTTGCTACGGGACGTAGCCGTCTACAAATCTTGTAGTTCGAACACGACTGGCGTTCGTAGCGCTACGGTATCGTAGGCATGCGCGCGCAGCCTCGCCCCACACATGAATCCAATACCAATTCTCTTCCACGCGATTTTCTAATTTTTCCATTCCCGTTTTAAAATGACCTAATTCTGAAATGTCTAAATACCCTTTTTGTTTCAAATTAGAAATGATGAATGATAAAAAAAAAATACGCTAAGCTTTATTACATTTAAACCGATTTCTTTGAAATATATTTTATCATCGTATTTGAAGAACAATGATCTGAAAAGGTCGATTGAGTAACATTCAAAAATAATAGTATAACTAGTTTATCTAGGATATTCTGATATGCAGATATATTTGAAGTTAAGTAGACCGTTTCGGTGACTTACTATGAAAAGATGTGACGCGTTAGAGGACCCGGCAACTGACTCCGTCGTGTCACGATCTTGCGTCTCCTTTAAATAGATTCATTTTCCCGCCGAGCGTCAAACTTTTTAATTCCAAACTTGGTGTGAAACTGTATTAAAAGAGAGTTACAAGCTTGATGAAATTGCCTGATTGCCTATAAGTAATATAACAAAAAGTATTTTTGTCCGGACAGACTTCGTCAAATGGTATTTAAGAATGCTATGCTCTCTCAAATTTTGTTTGAAAAAAAATTTTTTTTTTTTATAAATGTGATATCATAAAATAACAAATGAAC